TTTTTTTTTTACCTCAATGTGCGCCTGATTTACCTATACATCGGGGTGAGCAATATTTTAACTGGCATTACTTGGCATATACTACTTTTTACGTCTGTATTCAGACGCCAAATATTGTGCTACGTTTGAAGCCTTCAAAATCTTTCAGGTAAGTCAAATTTCTTCAATTATTTAGTGTATATATTAAGTATGGTACACGTAGTATAGTAGACCAACCTTTGTGATTTTGAATGTGTTAGTAGATGTCGGTTTCTGGTCTATTCCAAAAAGACTAACAAGTATAGTGAGACCGCAAGTAAGACTATAGACATATATATAGCTCAAATGGTAGGATTTCTATGTCGCCTATAAAGGCATACATATAGACAGAAGTCTGAGCTTCGCAGCCGATTGCTTCTATTTTGTAAAACTCAAATAGTCACAATAAGAGAAAATGGACATCATGCAGCCATTTCTGAAAGCCATTTTCTTTACCCGGACTTTCATTGTGCTAAAAAAGGAAACCATTCACGATTTACAACAAGCCCGTGTTAGATTACGAACCGCGGCATGTGATCCATGATTGCCTTGTCTAATGGTTTTGGAACATCCCCGTAGTTGTAGAAAATCATCAAACCACCCACAGGAAATGGTTCTGATCCATTATCTTAAACCCACAACACCGTATTGGTGATCAACGGCGATTAATGTTAACTTACAGTTGACCACGAAAGTGCTATTTGTGAGCAAGAAAAGCCATGATGCTCAAGACAGTAATCTAGGGTACACCACTGCAGCCGATAGGATTGATACATTGCACTACGAGAGGAACATTTAGCTTTTATCTCAAAAGCTCTCAAATGATTCAGGATCAAACTGACTGTGCAGATCAGAGTAGTGTATTGCAGGCTATGCCCACTCTATATGTAATATCAACATCTTTGGGAGTCTCCGCTTTTGCAAAGTATTTATAGACAACATAAAGTAATTCTTTTTGTTGTATTGATGCAGCTGATACGTATCACTCCCGTCTTATTATTAGCTAAGCTTTGATAATGATCTGTTGCTTCCAAAAAGGTGACAAAATCAAATGCACAGAATCTAGCTATACTAGGACACAGTCAAAAGAAATGTTAGTAGATTTGAGTGTGCAAGCAGGTCGGCAGAACGTACGTATACTGCACCCGCGCAAAACCCGGATTTTTCACGGTTTTCGTTGGATGTTTGGTCAATGTTGCATCAGAAATTTTCCCGTTGCAGACGATATCTTTTCCGAAATAACATGTGGAAACTACAGACGGGATGTTAACCTAATATACTCGAATACGACCTTATATGACACGTTCTGCCGAAGTGCTAAGCACAATACATTACGGGTTTGGCGCGGGGGCAGTACGTTCTGCCAATGCGTTTAGTGTACATTGATTAATGGTACATCCACGTGACTGTAATAACATGTATTATGATTGAAATTTACTCTTGGCAGCTTCCAGGTTGAACCATCCAACATGGCGGACGATGCTTACGTCATAATCACGTGAGTGCAAACCACCAATAGCTTGTCGTGCCGGAGGCATCAGAGGACTTATCCCTAAGCTTACCGTACAAACACAGGACTGCTGGGTCAAGGCCGACATATTGATTTAGTCCTATAGCATTATTCCGATCGGGATGTCAAAATGCATGGATTAAAGTTTCAAACGCTTGGATCAAATATAGAAAGTCTGGCAATTTTCCAGCGCCAATGGGGCTCTATCGATCGCGTTTTTGGATATAAAATGAAAATATCATGCGAAAAGTTCAAAAGGTGACGGAGAATCCCATGTTCTATAACAGATATTGGAAAACAGTTGGCCCGCCAAACATTACGAGAGAGCCCCGTGGGCAAGACCAGATAACAGAGCCAAGGGATGGCCGCCTGGGTGTTATCTGTACCGTTCACACGCGCCATTTTAGCTAGCGGTCTGGTAGGCGTAACTTCGGGTATCTAGTGACAAATGTTTCCTTTGAGAGAGTGCCGAAGGTTGGCGTATTGGATTATGGTAGGTTCTGAACTTAAAGGGATGCAACAGGGCGATAGTGTCCGAGGTATGGAGGCATAAAACTTGTCGCTTTCCCATCGTTTTTTCCCTATAGAAACTCGTCTGTCAAAGTTACAGATCCAAACAGAATGCACAAAAGTTGTTGCCGTTAGCGAAAATCAAGCACACGATCTCTGGCAAGTATGAATGGTCTATCTAAAGCATTATAGCTACAGAAAGCCCCTCTGATAACAGGGAAAATGGAACTCTGGCTATCTTGAGTCATAAACATGCAAAATATGAAGGGTAGAACTAGCAGTAGAATTCACGACGATACAGTTCAGTACGATAACTTTCAGACGGCAGCCAACATCTTTCATCAGCTCATGACAAAGCAGACAAGCCAAAGAGTGTTGCCGTGATTCCGCCACAAGAAATAAAGAAGCTCCTTTTGTGACCTTTTTTTCATTGCTTAGGCCACAGCAAGTAAATTTTATGGATGACATCCTGCGCAGACTCCAAATCTAATGCGAGCGGGCGAAAAAAAAACATGGCGGGCCGAAAAAAACAAGGTTCTTACAATTTGAAATTTTGACTCAATCATTGTACAAATGGTTTTGATTCGAATTCAGTCGGAAAATACACAGCCAACATCACATATCACTGCATGAAAGTAAGAAACAAAACATTAAATCAGAGCCTTTTCTTGTCTCCTCTCTTCATAGTTATCTGCCATCCACCTTCCGGCATATTTGCCCATTTTCGGCATGGTGACCACTGTCAGAAGGCAACAAAATTTCTTTTTTTTTTTCCAAAATCAGATGTCATCCACAAAAATTACTTGCTGTGGCCTAAGAGACTATGGATTAACGTGAACTGTTTCAGCACCAGGGGCAGGGACAGTCTTGTGTGCCTGTCCATGATGCTGAAAAATTAATTCACTTTACTCTAGAGTCTTACCTCTACTGTAGTTTGTACTGTCGTAACGTTGGCGTAGGTATTGCCTGGATGGGTAAATCTTTTTGTTTTGTTCTTTTTGCAACATTTAAATTTGATATGTCAGATGCAATTCTTTCGGATTGAAACAACCAGAACATCGAATATTATGTCACATACATGCAAATATACTATTACAAACCATCAATGCCAATTTTTAAATAAAAAACATACAATAGTCTGCATATTGTGTAAAATCAGGGATAGAGGTATGACTATGGTAATGCTGTGATAAAGTGTTGTGTTCTGTGTTTATTCATCAACAATTTGTACAAGTATCATGTCATAGGACAACAAAAGCTTCATCTGTTAGAATTTGCTTCCAGTATCTGCTATCTACAGCGTATGCTGCATTCTTCCTATTGACTATCAGCTAGTTATTGCAACATTTCATTTCATACTTACGGTTGATATAATGTATATACTATTAAGTGGCCTTAGTCACACTGCAAAAGTTTAAGCCTTTAATATCTTACAAATCGGTATAGACATTAACTTCCATGGTACATTCATCAAAGACAATACAATCATATTTCCCAACAATGCGCTATGTACTCTTACAATACATGCAGCAAAGTTTCTGGACATCACAAGCTTCAGTTGAACTCTGTACATGTATATGGTCTGTCAATAGGTAGAGGTGTTGGACATATTTGCCTGTAATACTTAGCAATGTTGATAGGAGGCGCTGTTGCATGGGTGCAACATTTCAGGCAACTGAACTGAATACTGCCCTTACAGATTTTAGTCAAGTCCTTGCATAAAAATATGGCTAGTATACTTCCAAGAAACGTTCTATAAGAAATGATGTGTTGACATGAAAATTCAAATCAAAATACCATTCATGTTGCAAATTGCTAACTTTGTGGGATGAAAGCAAGATACAATGTAGAAATTCCTTATACATGTCACAAATAATAAAAGTTTTTAAAAAAAGACCCAAACAACCAATGTCTTCTAGTTAGAAAGTATACAATACTATTTGCAATACATGTATCATGTTTCGGTTGCTAGTTTGTGTATATTTGCTCATGGGCCATTGTAACAATGCATTCTACATTCATTTAATAAGTAAACAGAAATAGCTGTAGTTTTTGAAAGTTATGAAGGAATGCATCCTACTGACATTGTACTTCTTCAGAATCTCTGTGCACAGTGCAGTATTCAAACCTACAAGATGGTTACCTTCTTATTAAAAGGGTTTGATACACAGAAAAGTAAGTATTTTTTTTTCTTACAGGAGCAGGCAAAAACATCTACAGTGTACAATTTGAACCCATGCCAACTATTACAATATGTGATTGTAGTCTTACAACAAAATATCTGCCTTTTACATATGTTTGACATCATCACTGGAAATTAGTATTCAAGAATGTAGTAATATTCTTCTCAATTTTATTTTGCTCTTGAATTAAGTCTACTAGTTGCTCATGTTAAAAAAAAGTCATGATAATCAGAACTGGCCCAAATGTATAATCTTTTCTTTATCTTTCAAATTCTAAGGTTTATTATAGTTGATAATGCATGTCAAGATGAAATAACATGCAAATACAGCACAGCATCTTCATCTTTGATCTTACATAGTTATTACATACATACTTAGCTATTCTTATACTTATTGTAACAACATCTTATATGCATAATAATCAACAATTACAATATTTACAGCGATCAGATGCCAATACATTCATATTAATAGCAATCAAGATTAAATGGCAAAATGATTTCTTCACACAGTTTGGGCCACACCAATTTAATTTCTTGAAATGAAAACAGTTGCTGAACTAGAAATATAAAAAAAAAACGTTACAAAGAAACACTGTTCCTTGGTACACAGTTTTATACCAGCCCTTACTTTCATTTATTTGTTTATTTGTTTATTTTTATTTTTCACAAAGTAAAATCGAGAGCAAAACAGGTGCATACGCACCTTTACAAGTTGCCCTCCCTTTTATCTTGAACTATTGCTAAAGTATCACTTAAAATGTCTCTAAGAACCAAGGAATTAAATTGACGTGGCCTAATGAAAAGAAAATCTCTACACATAATTAACTGTACATGTATGGTGAACGGGAATACTTTTCAAGTATTGTCAATAGTGGTTAAAAAGTGGCTATGACACCAGTGCATTGACATCCCAGATCTGAAAAAAAAAAATGTAAGATATTACATGATCAGACAAGGCATATTTGATACATATATGGACTCATATACATTGTATGCATAACAAAACTCTACCAAGTATACAAGCTTATCATTTTTCAATTTCAATAACTAAAATATACAACTAAAGCATGTTTTTTGTAAAAAAAATTATGACAATGGAAATGGCTACTAAATAATGACTCAATTTTTTTTACACCACTTGGAAGCACATACACACATACATTTGTATTGCACATACACATGTATTTATTTCACCTCCATTCATTGATGCCACCTAGCATTACATGACTGAACTGCAGGATTATGTCAATAGTTCATGAGCTTGACTCACCTTTATAATTCTGTCTGTGCCACATGTCAGCAGCCACCCACGCGTGCCGTCATAGTGGATCGCGACCACGCCATGTTTGACATCGTGAAACGTCGCCATTGGAGCTCGCCTACATGACACAGAGCCAGGTTATCTTAAACTATGCACAATACATGAATTGCTAAAAAAACATTAATGGCAAATTTAATGATCATTTGTTAATCATATTAGAGTTAGGGAAAATGTTGTGTTTCTGGTTTATCGATCTACCCTAGCAAAACTGGCTAAACCTAGCCTTTTTTGGGTCAATCAGTGGCAAGGAACATGAAATTTTTTATCTAACATCTGAATTACAAAAACATTGTAGAATCATTTCCAACATATTCTCCTCATTTCTGCTAAACTATAGCCTGGCTACCATCCTGGTAACTTTACGTCCGCTCCCACAGTCACTACCTATGTTAGTCTAACTAACCAGGATGGTACCCAGGCTAGCTAAACTAAACTAAAGAAAGTGATACAAACAATGTGTAGTAATCAATGTAACATGTACTTTGAAGTCCAGTTTGGTTTGGTTTAGTTTGGTTTAGTTTATTTCGATCTCCATTAGTGAATACATTCACTAATCTTCCTGGAGTCCATTTATAAACAATGTATAAACAATACAAAATATAACAATGGAATATAATAAAGCCATACAACATCTCTTGTACAATGTATGATTAAAATATGATGTTGAAAAAATGAGCACCACTACCTACTGGCCCTTATCTTTTTGGAACCATACTCAAATACAACATTAATTTTCCTAGGTTATAAATTTAAAAAGATGAGAAGGAAATCTTACTCGTCATCTGAGATGTTGGCAAAGCAGGCGTTGCAGACTCGCACCTCAAACTCAAACCCCATGAGGGGGATGGTGGAGCGGTTAGCACTACACTTAGCACAGACTGCACAGCCACATTTTCTACAGTGGTGCTGGGGGAAAAATAGAATACAATATTACACTGAGATGTTTTTAACATAGATCCCACATTTTCTACAGTGGTGCTGGGGAAAAACATACATGTGCAATGTATAATACAATTTTACACTGAGATGTTTATAACAAAGATCCCACATTTTCTGCAGTGGTGCTGGGGGAAGATATAGAATAAAATATTACACTGAAATGTTTGTAACAATGATCCACAATGTGTTACATGTACACTGCAGTCAAAACTTACTGATGAAAAATGGAAATCCTTCAGCAAAGATGACAATTTACCACTCAAAAAGATGGTTGGCTACATTGTAGAATTCACAACTTGTATCTGTCATAGTACCCAAACCTCTGCACTAGTCTGATATCTTATAGATTATAGTATGTACCTGAACATGTACATGTACATGTATGTACATGTAGGGCTGTGTAATACCTATATTACCGGTACATGTATTTAACGTTTCAGAGTTTGACAATTAAATGCCTTACCTGTCTTGTTCCTATTGTTTTCTCATTCCACATCTTCTTGAAGTTCCAGAAGAAGGGCTGGTCACACTTCTGGCAGTTATCACTCTCAACCCACTCGGGGGTCTACAGAAAGGGGAAAGTTGCAGTACAGAAAAAAATTTAAATTTTGGCTTGTATCAATCCATTAGTATTGATATCTTATAGCTAGGGCTTGAAATGCTTTACATAAGTCTGTTTACTGACAGTATTCCAATCCCCAACATTGTTTTAGCTTGCAAAGTTGCAAGTTTTTTACCCAAAAAATAACTACATCCTTGTTCATATTCTTATGAAATTGTGCAATGTGATAGACTAAACTCTCTAAGGGATAAAATAGTTCCCAATAAAAGGAAGGTTACATAGAATGGTTTATTCATTCATTTTGCGAATACAAACTCATCGCAGCTTATTAGCTGAATTGTGAGTTCATGTAGTACACATATACCAATTTCACAAGTTGACATAAACAATCGCTCTAAAAGTTTACAAGCTGCGAACAGGTGACAATACATATTTAAAAATTGGAATACATATTTAAAAGACGCAATGCATATATAAAAAGGTAGAATTACATATTTAAAAGATACACATTAATTATCAAAGATACCAATTAATAATCTAAATGTCACAATTATCTAAACTAAATGCCATCGTTTAACAGGTTAACAATATACGGTAGAGGGCTATTTTGGTAGCGTTTAGTACGTTACATTACCTCATTTCTGTCCACACTCATGTTCCAGATCACAATAACGCCGTCCTCCCCTCCAGACACCAGCTGTTTGGTATGGCCCACAAACTTCAGACCTTGTACTTTATTACTGTTCAGGAGGAAATAGAACAAAAATCAGTACAAAGCCTAGTTGCTCTCGTTCCATATAGAAATATCATTCTTGTTCAAACAGATAAGAAATCTAAACTATAATCATACACAATTGCATATCAACTGACAATCTACCTTTGGATCAAACTACCACGGCACATCAAAACACTTTCCAGTAGATCCAACTCTAAAAAAACACCCAGTAACTGTTCATATAATGATCTGTGACTAGTACATGTATGTGGATTATGTTTTCTTCCTTTCATTCCTACATAATGTACATTTCTTTTTGTGCTAACTGTGTATTTTTTTTACCATGCTATTTGTTGTATATGTATTTTTATTTCTGTATGAGCCCTTGAAGATTAGCTTTTTGGGCTAAAGGGCACCAAAATATAGACGATAAAGAGAGAGAATAAAAACATTATGAAGAAGAGTTACCTGTGCCCCTGTAGTTCAAACGCTGTACCCTGTTGCCCCCCTATGTCCCACACAATAATGGACTGGTCGAAGCTACCAGAGAAAAGTAATCTACTCTCAGGGTCCCACTCCAAGCACCGAATACTCCCTGCAGCACACAAGAAGAAAAAAAATACTTATATTTTTTGTAATATTACTTACTTATACATGTCTTATTATTGGTGTAGTTGTAGTTGTGCAACAAAATTGTGGCACTCTGAAACCAGTGTCACATACAGATACATGTCGAAACATGAATGCAAAAAATAGACACATTAGAAAATTCTTCTTCTTACTTGGCTACTTTATGTACAGTTAGTGTGAAAGTTTGGTGTCACTAAACAAAAAAAAATGCAACAACATCAATTCCAACCTCCAAATTTTGTATTCGAATTTTCGGTGCAGTTCGGGCGAAATGCGTTTGAATCATTCTATGGAACATTTGGAAGCCCGGGCTGTACAATGTATGCGTAAAGAACCCCGGGCTGTACCACTAGTTATCACACGGGCCGGAACACCCATATCAAACGTAATCACGGCCCAGGTATGACATAAAGTTGACTACACTACCAATTTGCTGATGTATGACGACAATGACAGATCGAAAATCAAACAGCAATTCTACTTCATTTGCATGCGTGTGTTTGACTCTCCCTCCACAGAAGTGACCTCCCCAGTGACTTACCCGAGTGTCCCTTCAATGTGGTGACCTGAGTGACCCCCCCGTTGCCCTCTAACTTCAGCACCTGGATGTGGCCAGAGAAATCCCCGACAAACACATGTTTGGACTCCACATCAAATCTGGTAACATGACTGTTAAGAAAACACCCGATATTATGAATGACACAACGTTTGATTTACTACATCTAATATACTTAAATTTTAATTTTTGATGGAATTCTTTTGCTAATAATGATGTAGTATCATGAAAGTTCATCTGTGTTACATGTTCAGATTTAAAACTTTCAACACTAAGAAGTTCTCACCTAGAGCTTTCGACTCTTCACTTATCTGTGATAGGGGCCAACATTGTCTACCAGATACCTTTGACCCAGTGTTGACGTCACACTTCAAAGAAGCTATGTGACAAACCTCACTGGGTCAGTCTACTGAGGAAGACCAGAGTGACTGGTCGAAAGCTCTAGGTGAGAAAATTTCTTTGTGTTGGATCAAAAGTTTTAACTTATATAATCATGTATAGCTGCTAGAAGAAGGATACTGGACGGCAGTACACCAGGCCCCACTCTGGAAGCCTCCCAGTCGTCTGCCTGTCTCTGAACAGTGCCACTGGAAGAACTTGTCTCTCCCCACACTCAACAGCCACTCACACTGGAGCGAGAAGTTAATGCCAACCACTCTCTGCTGGTGCGCTGCAAGGAAAGGGAAGAGATGCATTTGTCATAAAAACATTTCAACCAAACACGAAAAAGCTTCCAACAAGAGTGTGGTCGTGTGGCGTAACGACAATGTTCAGCCCGGAACCAAAAGGTCCCGAGTTAGAGTCCTGCCATCCCACTATCTTGTGGCCCTTGAGAAAGGCACTTTAAAGAAATTTCCTCACTTAACTGAGGTGCAAATAAGTATGTCTGTTATTCATTCATGCGTTTGTTGGTGGCAGCATAAATGAAGTTGGTGGCAACAAAAATCAAGTTGAAAAAACTTGAGTGTGCCGTCCCCATGTCTTGTAAAAAATGTTGGAATAGAAAAAAAAAGGAAAGAGATGCATTCATCATAAAAAATTTCAACCAAAAATGAAAAAGCTTTGAACAAGACATCGGAGATTTTAGACTTTCGGTGAGTACTTCTCATAATCTTTCGGCTTTCATAATCCTGTAATCTCATAAAAAGTTCACAGACCTCCAGAAAGTGTTTTGAGCTTTTGCAAATGTATTGGAATTGTGGAAGGGATTGTGTAAAAATATGATTTGGTCAAAACTCACCCAAGTAGTTTCTGGTAGCAGCCATTCTGTTGAAGTCATCAGCAAGTAGGAATTCCTGTTGCACCAAGAAACAAATGATCATGACTTGTCTAGATTACATTACTGTATTAGAGAAAATTTCTACTAGTAATCAAACCGAAATACAAAATACAGGGAACATGGAAGAGGATGTAGAAATATTTGTGAAATCTAACTATTTTTTAAGATAAGTTTATGAATACCATAAAAAAAAGGACAGCAGTTACAACATAACATTGTACATGATAAAACTACTAAACGAACAGTAACAGTAACCTCTCCACATTTAGAACATTATTATTATATGTAAATATTAATATTTGAACCAAATGCCAATTTGTATATAGCCTAACTCTTTATGTGAAAAGTATGTAATTCAGCCACTTTATTTGGCTGCGATGTACTTTTTAAGGATCATGTTGATGTTGATCAAATAAACCAGTCATTCATTCATTCATTCATTCATTATACTCACAGAAATAGTGCCATTGTCCAATCCCACAAATAACCTCCTGGTTTCTGGGTTATAATCTAACGCGGATGCAGCAGCTAAAGGGAAAAAACAAGAAACACAGTGTATGGCACTGAATTTACACAGAAATGATACACTGTAGTTGATTTAGTATTTACGTATTTAGTATTACAGATGGTCACTTATTTCTTCCTTTAGTTTTACCTACCTGGCATTGTGTGGCAAATACTGGGCCAATACTGTCCACTGTCTCTCTTCAACCATACCCGCACAGTTCTGGGGAAGCAAAACACAACAACAGTACCGGTAAGTCACAATCATAGAGTGACACAAGAGCATTGGAGATCACATTCAGGACTGTAACATGTCTGTATAAGCCTGATCCAGCAACCGTATATTGATCTATGTTACACAACCACAAGCCAGACATCAGTATTGAACTGTAACAATTTTGTACAACAGCCAATTGTGATGTAATTGTACAGCACTAAACACAGCAATAATGTGTGTCAGTTAGCATGCCTAGTACCTGATAATTAACGCTGCCATTTCATAATTCCTTAAAATGAAATTTGGCATGTTTACATGTGATATAAGATATGCCACTTCTCAAAACAGAGAGATGATGTTGTTTAGAATGATTGTGGCATGTATAAGGAAAAAGTCAAGCTTTACATTTTTATGTACTTTTAAATCAAGCTCAAGGGCTTTTCCAACCTACATGTAACCCATGAATATTATTCATGATCATGGTTCCTATAACTGCCCAACCTTTGGCCACAGCTTTTCTTGAGCTTCCTGGGAAATTCACCTGGCTTTATTAGATTGTGTGGCTGAGAACATGAGACGCATACAAATGAGGCGGCATTTTCCCAGTGCAGTTTTTAGGGCTTAGAAACCAGATTTTGCAAAGTCAATATTCTTGTCATTTATCTACATACTAAGTTTAAACAAAACTGTCCCAATGTATATTGACATTCATGGAGGAAAAATGCCCAAAATTCTGATGAAAAACGGTTACTGGAAGGACATAGGTTGATTTTAAGGGTACTACCCGGAAAATAAAGGGCTCATCTTCAGGCTTGTTTTCAATGCCTTTTAAGTATGAAACAGTGATTCAAATGTGCTAATGACTGTGGGACAGTATGTGTTAATATCATACTGATTGCCTTATTTGGACTTTGGAGTATTTCCAGTTCTGCTGCCCTGAAATTGCATTGGATACCTTTAACAAGGCAATCAGATACAGGACTAGAAGGTCAGGTTTTACGTCACACTACTAGGTTACTTCACATTGCTGGAAGGGATTAGAGTAAAACTGTTATCAGGGTTGGCACAGATTGAATATCCTGCAGACCACATGGAGATTAGATCCAAACTTGGCACAGAAAGTTTAGATCCTGAGTTTGATCAATCATAAATTAACCCTGTTTTTCTTCAACCATTCGGTGTTGTATCATAGTTTACATGATGTGTCATTAGAAAGCTTGTCATTTTCCCTTAAAAATGATAGAGATTACACGTACATACAAACTTGGTTAAGAAAGTAAAATGGAGTTTCATCGATTATAAAATTAATAAATTCTCTGTTTTTCTCATAGACGTTCTACCACCAATAGTGTTACATGTCATACATATGTATCATTTGATTTTTGAAAGCTTGTTTAAGTTTCCCTTAAAAAGATACTGCATAAACTGTAATGAACACATAAAGTTATATCTTAGACAAGCAGTTATTGTGATGTGGTTGATGTCATGCAGCAATATATGATTTTAAAAGCTCAGTTCCGTTTTCTTTACTGTCATATCAAGTATTGTTTCTGACATTAATCTGATTCATAACACTGGCTGTTGCATGCTTTAAATGGTTTACATACCAACAGCCACTTACCAGAGCATATAAATGACTATAACAGCTTCGTGCAAAACAATGTACCCATTCAAATATGTGATGTTACACCGTTATCGTTGCAGAGATTCATTTGTCACGTATAGATACAGTTCCTAGTGAATTCTTTCATCAGTGACGACTTTGGAAGGATAAGGATACTAACCTCCAAATTTTTGATGGCTATCAGTCCATCTTGTTCACGGAGTGGCCTAATCTCGCGAGAGCGCGAGACTAGGCCCGAGACTTGCATCGGTCTGTCGGGTGCGGAAGTGGTGCACATACAGTTGGAAGGTGCCAAGCTAAACCGGACAGAAGGTTGGGAGCTCCCCAAGACTTACTTACCCTTACTTCGGAGGGAGGCGGCGGGGGGTGGGACCCGACAGACCGATGCAAGTCTCGGGCCTAGTCTCGCGCTCTCGCGAGATTAGGCCACTCTGTGAACAAGATGGACTGATAGCCATCGAAAATTTGGAGGTTAGTATCCCTATCCTTCCAAAGTCGTCACTGATGAAAGAATTCACTAGGAACAGTGATGTTACACAATTTTCAAATGCAATAAAACATATATTATGACGATTTTGAAAGAAAATTATGTTATATCCTTGTGATTTTTTTGTTGTGATTTTGCTTTGATTATACATCAACGTTATGTGATTTACTTCGCCAAGGTTTACAATAGCCCCGCCCCTTTATTTAATCTTTTAAGTCAAGTAGTCTGGTAGCAATCGAATAAACGGCGTCAAGGAGACAAAGCATACAGAATACTCTGCTCACCAACAACTATTCTCTTATCTTTCCTTTAAAATTTGCAAAGGTTATAAAATTTAATTCCAGGATACAGATAGTATAGTACACAGTACAAGACAAGAGAAGCCATAAACATTATTTTAGACAGGGGTCGATCAAACACTTCCGGAAAGGGTTACGCGAAAATGCCCGACATTTCGGCAGCTATTTCTATGACTTAGAAACCTCGCACCGACCTGTCATCGCACACGCTGATGACTCCATCCTCCTTGGGGATGATGACGGCCTGGTTGACGATATCTCCCGACCCTTCGAGCTTGGAAAGCAAAATCGGCCTGCGAGATGTTGGCTTAGGTCGGATTTCGGCAGCCATTTTGGAACCGAGAAATAAAGACAGCATAGCCACGCTAAAAATCTCACCAATACGAAAATCATGAATATGATTCGTATGACAGAAATGTGTTAAAATATCTAAGTACAAATTTATAATCTGTGTTTCTGGTATTAAAATTGAGGACATGATGCATATCGGGTTTTGTTGTGACCAGAAATTATTATTTTCAGTATTTGCGTTTTTGTGCCGTGTGGTGATTAGTGTCACATGACAAGTCGCTACAAACTCACGGAAAATCTCGTTTCAGTTGTTCCTGTTTTATCCAACTTTATCAGTCATATTTTATCAACATTTGATTAAAACTGCAACTTGTTATGTTTTGATATATTCTTGTGTAAAATTCACGCAGAAAAGTCCTGTTTAGGTCGGGAAGAAACCGTACAGTACTGTTGTTTTGAAAGTCACATGGTCATTTGGTGGCGTGAAAAAACGAGAGTTCATTCAGTGGAGAAAAATGAGAAGTTGGGGAGGGCGGGTGCGATGCCTACACCATAAAAATGTAAGTTTTTAGCCATTTTCTGATAGTTTCCCTCAGATTTTTACCTCTCTGCGTAAACTACTGGAGCAAGATGATAGCTAGCTGACCCGAGTGTGAACAATTTTATCGGGATAATGAAGTTTTGCATAGTTTTATCGTAACGCATTCTCACATGTCAGTGGACTGTTTCACTGGTTTACGTTTCTCGTCAGTTTCTGTTCTGCTTTTACAAATTCCAGTCTACGAAGAGCTTTTTAGCTCTCTGTGTACAGATGTGATGCATATGTACTACGGGAGACATGGATATACATCTGCACATTCGTGGTTATGCTGTGGAAATAATCTTTAAATTTATTATTAATATTAACATATATGCAAGAGTCCTACGTTCTTCAGTATCATATTTTACAATTAATTGTGTGAAAGAAGTGCAAATTATCCAGCTGGTGCAGTCACAAATGTTGATAAGTTATGTAATCTGTATCGGTATAGCCGAAAAACTGAACTGTGTAGTGTTTTATTGTCTGCGTCTGTATTATATAGCCGGGTCGGTATAACTGCCCTTCGGCATAACACACCAGCTTTGCAGGCACGCGGCGCGGCAGCAGCTATCTAACGTTACATTTCACCGAACAACTTGTTACACCTAACCCTTGAACATCTACTAGTAACTCTAAACCTTGTTTAAAGCTATCTACTGATAATGATGTAGTAATATTTCATTTTCAGAAATGATGAAGACTGGGTAAAACATCCAGCAGCACTCGGTCACACACATCACTCATATCCCAGCCTCAGAGCAGTAGTAGTGTTCAACTTCAGACAGTTACGATGGCGCCGGTAGCATCAGGTGAGGCGCAAGTACAGATGACCATGGTCCCCACGGCCGGGCCGGGACCTCCGGGCAGCGCGGGGAGCATCTCGCTGGGGATGCTCGTCGATTTCATCATACAGAGGACGTACCACGACCTGACCGTGCTCTCCGAACTCCTCCCGCGTAAGACGGACATGGAGAGGAAAATCGCCATCGTGCAATTCGCGCACAGGACAAGGCAGCTGTTTGTAAGGCTACTGGCTCTGGTGAAGTGGGCAAACAGTGCAGCCAAGGTAAATATAGATATGACTATAAATATTGTAAGATACAATAAGTCATGAATTGTAATAATGATAAGCTTTTCACATGTAATATGGTAAAACCTCCCATAAAGATCACATATGGGACCTGTAAAATCTGGTCAATATTGACAGGTGATCATTGTGTCAGTGGGAAAAATTATTTTAGGGACTGCCAAAAGGAGGGCTCAGGAATATCAGCCAGGTGGTCCATAGAGGTGGTCACTAGTACAGATTTGACTGATAATAAGTAATTACCGGATAACCAAAATATTACTGACAAGGTACTTTTCCTGAAATCAATTTATTTTGTTTGTTTTTCTGAAATCAATTTTATTTTGTTTTTCTAAAATCAATTTTATTTTGTTTTTCTAAAATCAATTTTATTTTGTTTGTTTTCTGAAATCAATTTTATTTTGTTTGTTTTTCTAAAATCAATTTTATTTTGTTTGCTTTCTGAAATCAATTTTATTTTGTTTGTTTTTCTAAAATCAATTTTATTTTGTTTGCTTTTCTGAAATAAATTTTATTTGTGTTTTTCTGGTAGGTGGACAAGTGCGCCATGATCTCAGCATTCCTGGATCAGCAGGCCATGATATTTGTGGACACAGCAGACATGTTGTACAGGATGGTACGGGAGCTGGTCCACGCACGGCTGCCCAGCTTCAACATTCCCCACGCTGTGGACGTCCTCACCACAGGCACATACCCCAGGCTGCCCAAGTGTATCAGGTAATCTCCAAGCAGATAATACGGTGGCAAGGGCAAGGCAGTATTAAAAGTCAGAGGAGTGTCCGACTTGGGTGGCTAACTGGCCTTGACACTCCTCTGGCCAATAGATACAGTCTTGCCACCGTATGATCTGCTTGGAGATTAGTATCAAGTACAGAAAGTAGATTGTATTTGCTACTATGGAATTTTCCATATGGTACAATGGAGGGGAGACAAAACAGGTGTTTAAAAATCGTCTTGATATACTAATTGTAGCTTTGCTGAGGTCATGTATATATGAATGATATGTTGTGCATTTTGAATTTGAACTTAAATTGTTAGCACACTGAAGTAACCATTTGCCTACCAATTCTCTATTGGTTACAGGGCTATCTACTTATGAAAAATGTTAGAGTTGTTTTTATGTTTTTGCTTCACCTGTGGTTTTTGGGCATTAACTGCATTGTTTTATTGTAGAGACCGGATCGTCCCCCCTGACCCGATCACCCCAGCAGAGCGGAAAGCCACCCTCCTGAGGCTGAACCAGATCATCCAACACCGCCTGGTCACCACAGACCTGCCTCCACAACTGGGAAACTTAACTATAGGTGAGAAAAACCCCTTAAGTAAATTAACATTTAAAAGGCAACAGTGTACAATGTTCATGAATGTGAGATTTTACTATATACATGTATGTGTTTCTGCCAAGGAAGAATTTATATTTTCTTCCTGTTATGAATACATGACTGAGACTTCTGATATTCTTTCAGTTGGTTTTGAGATATGCTGCATCTCTTTGTACAATGCATTGTATACTCTCTCCTCACCTCTGATTGGTTGTTTGCCTTGGCAGGGCAGGGCAATTCTTTTGGGATAGCCAATCAGGTCACAGTTTGCGCTAGAGCACTAAGGGTCATCTGAAAGCAGCCAATCAGCAGAAGATATCTCCTTAGTAGAGTAGCCAATCAGCACTAGAGATCTCCTTAGTAGAGTAGCCAATCAGCACTAAGGATCACCAAATGCATTGTTCTTTCAGCCAATGGCAGGGTGAAGTTCCAGGTACCCCATGAGTTTGAGGCCACCCTGACACTGATGGGGGATGAACCCTCCATACCCTGGAGACTGCTGGGCATCAAGATACTGGTGGAAGACAAAGACACAGGAAGTCAGTACTCTGAGGCATTCTTTGTAGAATTGGTAGTTGAAAAAGTTAGTGGGGTCATGTGGCGTAACAGCAGAGCATTTGGCTCAAAACCAATAGGTCCCAGGTTCAAATTCTGCCATGTCACCAACCTTGTACCCTTGAGAAAGGCACTTAACACAACTTTCCTCACTTTGCTCAGGTATAAATGACTGCCAGAATGATCTTTATCTTGATCATGGGCATTAAAGAAAAAGAAACAAAATCTTTACATTATAAGTTGAATCTACTTCTTCATCACATTGTATGGCAATATTCTTAGGTACTGTACTACTACATGTACAATTGTGTCACTCCTAATTTTCTTTTTCCATTTTTCCTTAAATTTCTTAACTATAATCTTTTTCTGCAGATGGCACAGCGCTAGTCCACAGTCTGCAAGTAAACTACATTCATCAGCTCATCCAGTCACGTCTCTTTGCTGATGACAGGCCGCTGTATGACCTCTATGATTGCCTTCATTCCTTCTGTCAATCCCTGCAGTTAGAAGTACTCCATTCACAGGTAAGCAGTGCCTTTTCTTGAGTCCTCAAGGGCTGTTCTTGAAGTTGTCCTCGACCTCAATCCAAAATCAAGTTCTTACTGGGTTCTAACCTTAGATCAGATGAAGAAAAGGCTCATTCATACAGACAAAAAATAGTGGATCCTACTTGAAATTTTTAAACGTCTCACAGTTTTCAAAATACATATGTATATACCGTTGCTTGAGAAGCTTGAGTAACAGTCTTCTGGTGTATCTCCTATTACCTGGATGTCTAGCCTTCATCAATATTGTTTTGGTTACAGGCATTTTATTTTTTTAATTATCATGCGTACATACATGCTGTAATTCACTTTATCTTCACAGTAGCAAAAGTTCGCGGTCTGAGAAAAATGGAGGTGTTCACATAACTATATGTTTACAGTGGCAGCAAGTGCAGAAAAAAGGAAGTCCGCAAATTATTTGTTAAGGGTAATGATAAGTTCGCTGTACAGAAGTGGCCGCAAAGACAACAAACATAGAAGTGCATGTACTGTAAAAAAATGTGGGATTACAGTATTTCAATCCTGTATTTGCAGACACAAAGACTGATCCATGAAAGATGGAGTGACCACATCAGATTGGAAGAGTACACCATTGGTCAGTCCCTCACAGTATCATACTGGAGGGCGCAGCTTGTCGAAGCAGCACAGAACAAGCTCGAGATTCCCGTCACGCACAAACTGACCATCGCAATGCACGACAATGACAAGAGCAGGCCTCTCCAAGTGAAGCATCAGCCGCCATTGCCTTCCCATGAGCCAGTGCAGGTGGACCATGCCATTAAGGTACATGTAGGGGGGTGACTCATCCTGCTAATCAACATCAGCAAAGAGATAGATTTTTAATGTGCCATGCCTTTTTTTTTCATTTATTTTAAAAATTTGAATAAAGAAAGATTTTTTTTTTAAGTTAGACTTGTTGTAAGGCCTAGGGAAACAAAATATTGTGTTTCCTGTTTCCCGACTGACCCTAGAAAAAACTGCCAACCCTTGCCTTTTTTTGTAATGCAACCCAACCAATGTTTTTCTTGCTTCAATGATCTGACACCTGAGTGCTAAAAATGTTGTGCAATCGGTTTTCCCACATTGACATTGTGCCCTCATAAAATTGTCCTCATACAAGTTTTACTTTGTTAAACTGTATCCCTACTTACCGACCCTAATTTTTTTTCAGGACTGAAACAGGAAACACATTTCTTTTCCTGTGCCTGATCGATGAAATCAATAACAATGAACTTTCCTATTGTCTCTTCTCCCAGAGTGACTGTCTATCGATGGAGAAACTGCTGGTCCAGACCGTACAGGCGCGTGCGTACGCACGACTGAAGGAGCTCCAACTACAGATCAAGGCTCACAATCGTGATGACCAGTCCCTGATCTGTGGAATCCCCCCCGTCCTCAAAATCCCCATCCTGTACCCCTGCACAGAAGTAGAGTACATGAACATCGTGGCTGACTTACAGACGGGCATGTTACAGCCTATGTTCTACCACGGGGAGTCCCATTTAGAAGAGATGGAGAAGAATATCAACTCAGACGCGAGCAGGACCATACGGATGGTCAGTGATTTAAGGTTCGTGATTGCGCGGCGGCGGTGTCAGCACACCGTTCTACACCTCCCTACCGTCTGCCACCGGAAACTTCACCTTGAGAACTTCCAAACACACCCCATCTCCAAACTCTCATCTCACAAGGTATGGAAGACTTCAGAATCTGTAAAAGATACTGTCCAATAGTCCTTGAATGTGTATTTGATCCTACATATATATATAAAGGTACAGTACAGCATAGTGTTGTATTACAAAATGTTAGTGTTCTTTTTTTTCTGTCATACATGTAACATGTTGTAGTTTAACAGTACATAAACTTTCCCATGTTATGTGTTCTACAGGTATACCTCAGGCTAACCAGGCATCCTGGGTACTACTTAGTCGTAGAGTTTCTTGAAGGCCAACAGTTCTACGAAATAGAGTACAGGTAAGGAGCATCTGATACTCAGGTTTATTTACATGTACGATGTCGACAAATTCACCAAGTCTTCTTCTTGTGACAGCTTTCTGTTCAAAAATTTTCTTTTTTGGGAGTTGTATTTTGGTTCCAGAAGTTTGTTTTGTTGAGCATTTGTTGATGTTGGAATGTTGTACATTTTCCCTGTAGATATCACTTGCTTCAGTTGAAGGACCAGGGTGTGAAGTCAGAAGGGGAGTCCAGCGACAGTCCAGTGTCCAGCCATGCCGGCAGTCTGGTCACTCTGGACCCTGCCACTTTCTCCAAGGAGGTGGGGACAGCTACCCCTGGAATCAAGAGAAAGGTGTGTATAATTATGGTTTGGAGGTAGAGAATTATATGCTTGAAGACTAGAAAAACCCATACATCTTTTCAAAGACTTTAGAATAATCTGCTATGGCAAAACTAAGACATGAAGGCCATGAAAGCTCTAGGTGAGAGAATTTTTTGTGTTGGAACAAAAGTTTTAACTTTAAACAAGGCCCGAAATACTTTACCTTAATCAACATACACCTACAGGTATCTCTAAATTTAGTATAGGGCCCAGTGCAGGTTAGGTGCAAATACCTAGACATCTGAAATACCTGGACAGCCCCAATTTTGCCTGCACTAAGGTGCATATACCCAGTACATGCAGGGATCTCCCCAGAAATTTAGGACAGAATGGAGGAGGGTGCGAAATATCGGTAAATTTGACCAAAGAACCCTGGAAAAGGGTGTAAAAACACTAGTTTTGAAAATTAACAGGGTGGAGCTGAGATAAGGACTGGGTGGAGGAGCTCCACTGCTCCATTGTTTAGGGAGGTCCCTGACATGGACCAGTGCAGGTTAGGTGCAGATAGACATCAGAAATACCTGCATGTGCACCCAGTTAAGCCTTGAATGCATAGCATTGACTCCAAAGATCTATTCTTTTATTTCAGAATCTCTATTTCTGGTTTGAAATAAATAACACATTTCACATTTCACAAATCACATTTCCCTTCAGATTTCAATCCAGCACGGCCACGGTGGACCACAGTTGAAACGTGAGCGTGTGGACGCAGGTGAACCCTCCATGTACCTGCCGGATGTGGCTCACCTCATATCTGTGTGCGACACACAGATTCCACTCATCAGTCTGTGTCAGGAGCTGAGTAGGAGAGGCATCCCATGTCAGGTGAGACAGAAACTAGCATCACGTTCACACCCAGATTCATGTCAGGTAAGACAGAAACTAGCACCACATTCACACCTAGATTCATGTCAGGTAAGACAGAAACTAGCACCACATTCACACCTAGATTTCACTCATTCGTTTGTGTCAGGAGCTGGCCAGGAGAAGCATCCCATGCCAGGTGAGACAGAAACTAGCATCACATTTAGATCTTTACAAAAGAGACAGAAAGTGGCATCGCATTCAGACAGACTATGCAAGATTTACTTGGAATTAATGGTTGTTTGTGTGCCTACCAGTATTAACAAAATTTCTTTGCAGACACTTAGTAAGAATAGATAGTAGTATTATACGGGAATCTAAAACACCAAAATAGATATTGCTGGCTTTATACAACAGTTTACTGACATATTTGTTTACTATTATCTAATGCAGGGTGTCCAAAGCGAGGGTTATGATGTTGGCCTTGGCGTGAAGCTTCTCGCCTTGCCGTCGCTGCGAGGGATCCCAGATCACGTCGTGTTCAAGCTGAAGTCCGACTGCCTGGGCTGCACCTTCCGCCTGCAGGGCAAGACCAGCCGCGTGTGGACTGCCGAGCTCGTCTTCGCCAACTGCCCGCTGGCGAGCACGACGCAGCGCGAGCAGACCAGCAGCCGCCACGTCTACTTCACCTACGACGGGTTGAAGCCGGACTCTGAAGCCGCGAGCAGCGGTAACAACAACACAGAGAACGCCAACATCACGCCGGTCATGGACAAGTTCCTGCAGGACTGGCGCAGCATCGCAGAGATGTATGCCACCGTACTAGACTTTGCCAGGAACTACAAAGACCCCAACAGGCAGCTATTTCAGATGGTGGAGGTGAAGTCCTTCTCCTACAAGACGCTAACGCTGAGCTACGGAGTCGGGCGCTCCAGCACGGTGAAGATCCAGTGGGTTCCTGAGGGCAGCGGCGGTAGCTTCAAGCTGGGACTAGGGATGGTGGGGAGAGTGAACAACCCCAACTGTCACATGATTGTCCAGTCACAGCTGCAGGAGGAGTTCAACACCCACAGGAACATCGCACAGCTCATACAGGTCTTTCCCTTCACCATTTGTATCACCTGTTGACAATTAGCCTCGAATAGCTGTGGTCACAAAGGTTTTGAACTTGTCGCAGTAACAGATACTCTGATAAATGCTATGTAGAACTTTTTTTACTCGGTGTGTAATATGTAAATATGATCTCTCAGTCCGAATTCTAATTGTCTTGACACAATTCAGCCTTTCTGACTGTAATGTTTGTGTCAATGGTATTGAATTGAAGTAAACCATAGAGTCATATGGCGTAATGGCAGAGTACTTGACTCGGAACCAAGAGGTCCTGGGTTCGAGTCCTAACATGCCACCGATCTTGTGCCCTTAGGGAAGGCACTTCACACGGCTTTCCTTACTTAACTCAGGAGAAAATAAGTATGGTCTGTCCTCTATTTTATTCTATGTGTGGGACACAACACCAGCAATAGCTGCCTTTGTCCCATCTGTATTGTATTGTTACAATCTGAATAAATCAAATCATTCATATCCAGGTCCTGTGTGAGACCCAGAGCCCGCTACAGTCCATCACTCGCCTGCCGCAGACCACCATCCTGGGCTGTCCCAACAAGCCGCTCAGTCCCACGCAGACGTTCACCATCCTGCCGCAGTCCTCGGTCCACGCCAGGATCGCATTTCGGAACCTGTACTGCCTGGACGTGCACTGTCGCGGGAGGAACCTGGTCGCTATACGGGACGGAGCGTACAGCCTGTTCGACGTTAGCAAGGTCAGGAAAGCTGTACTGTCCGCTTTCATGTGACGTTAATTGAATACAGTGAGTTTTCTGCCTGAGTTAAATTTGCCTAAAAAGGCCACACAGGGGACCAAGGTAAAATGGTCTTTAAGGACAGGTGGCCATCTTAGGTACATGTAGTTTTCCTAATGCTTCCATCTAGCTAGGTGGCCTTTTAAGCAGGTTTGATTGTACTTGAAAATTAGAAAGGTTGATCAAAATGCCTAGTGAAAGATGAACTGGAATGAGATCAAGTTAACAGTCTTATCTTTTTTTCTTTCTTTCAGTTTTTTAAAGAAAAGATATCTTTTCCAATCTCTGCCTTGATAGGTTTGTTACATCACACCAGTATGACATTGATAACAGTCATGTACATGTACATTGTATGTATCACAGGTGGTGGAAGGTTTCACCCCTACACAGGGTCTGAAAGCATTCCTGTCCATGTTTGAAGACAGCATGGCTCACTCTAGACGGAGGTCAGCTAGTGAAGACGACAACCCACCTTCACCTATTGGTATGTTCCACATACATGTGCATGTAGTTCCTCCAAGACGCACTTGTATAGTTGCATGCACAAGTTTATGGATTTGAAGTGTTCCTTTTTGGCAATACATGTACCTGAGGGGTAGGGCTTTTATTATTTGCTGACTTAGGTTCTTAACTTGCCATGCTTGTACATGTGTTGAAGGATGGAGCATCTCTTTACTGTATATGGAGTTCCATTTAATCCCTAAAAAATTTTTGCCTTACCAACCAAGGGAAAACAATCATAAGGCCACACCAATTTAATTTTTTGGTTCTCGGATTCGCCTCTTCGTTTTTTTCTGATTTTCAAAAAAAAAAGATTTGATTCTGGTCCTGAATCAACTGAAAAATGCTCATGTTTTGCCCCCCAACAGTTGAGGAAAGTCCTTTTCTTCCTAGTTGTTACAGTTTTCCCATCTATCAATGCAGTGGTTTGATTAAAAGTTCCAAATTCAATGTTTAAATTTTAACCCAGCCTTTTGTGTTGACTTCATGGCTCATTTTGTAGCATTTAAGCCTATAATAGGATGCCTAGACCTGTTTTTATTTTTATTTTTTTTCGCCCTGTCGCTTCATATTTTTTCTGAAAAAATCCGAGAACCAACAAATTAAATTGGTGTGGCCTAATGTACAAATACATAAAGATGCCATGCTCTAGACACAGTGGATTAACTACCCACTGCCTCTACATTGAATATGCTCGACATAAAGGCTACCTTGACCCTTTTTTTGCATAACAACAATACATGTCTTTTCTTCACTGACTATTGACATTTCTCCTCTTTATATTAAACTGTGACTCTTGCACCTTGCTGCACCACTCAATATCAAAATAGCCCAGTACCATCTCTGTTTCAACTGCTTAATAACGACATGTTGTACGTGTAAATTAACTTTGTAATATGAGTGAGTTGTGTGTTTTTTTCATGTATGTATCTTGTAAGTGAAATGTATTTCAGCCAGATGGCTGCAATGTTTTACAGAAATAAACCATTCATTTATTCTTACATTCATTCATCAGGGATGGACAAACTGGACACGTACATGACCCAACACCAGCTTCACCACCAGACGACCGGTGCCTCCCCCCTCCCCAGGACCCAGCCCAGTGCCTACCACCCCATGAACCCCATGACTCCCCCCACCTCCCACTCCAACCCTGCCACACCCGCATCCCCACACACATCCATGCTGGCCACATCACAGGTAAGCAGACTTTTGTATGTCAGGCCCTAGCAATTGACATTTGTTATAGTTCTAACTCCTTGGATTTAAAGAAATAATGCTAGATAGAATGAATGAATTAATCTTTATCGCATATTCCTGTCCAGATGGACTAAATGCACATGTGACCATATGTGGTCTAGAGCATGTAAGACAGAAGTAGTTCAACACTAACAATACTACATTCTAACACTAAATATTAAAATTCTATCTATTAAAATAACACTGAGAACATCTACTAATAACCAATAATGTTAACCTTTTCTGTCATTTGACAAAATTTTGCCGCGTGTGATGCACAAAGGTTTTGCCCAATCTGCAGGGATATGCACACAATTTCAGGGAATTAATATCAGATGCAAGTTGCGGCAAAATGCAAATGATTGATATTCTAGTACAATTTAAGTACATATTGACTGATATCTGACAACCCAATATGCACATTGTACATGTACATACATATATGGGAGAATATCTAAAACATGCCTATACACTAGAAATTCGACCATGGACTGTAAAAGTACATGCTTATTCATACTGCCTTAGTGTGTAGATTACTGTAGTCTCATAGTATGCTTCTTATGTATAGATGCCATACTTTTTAAATTGTACAATAGTTGTGTAAAGTTCATTATATGTTTACATGGCTATAATCAATTTTCCTATATATTCCAGAGTTACAGCACCTCCCCTGGGTCAGCCTACCCCCTGGCCTCCCCACCCCAGCTCACACCCCAGCACCCCAACCCCGGTGCCCCCATCACCAGTGCCCCCACCCCCTCCCCCTCCATGCTGTATGGGACCCCCTCCCCCAGCACGTTCACCAGTAGTTCTCCCAGCGTCCGCGTTCCATCTCCGAGCTCGTTTGTGCCGGCGCCATCCCCACAGTCCATGGGAATCAACATGGGACCTTCTCCTGCCTTCATGAACCCAACTGGTAAGTTACAGTTCAACTTACACAATGGTCATACAATGTCAGGGTCAGCTAGGATTTAATTTTAGTGTAGTGGCACTGGCTGCATGTTGAGGTAGCAAAGCAACCGAGAGGGGGGATGGGGCGGAAGGGGGGATGCAGTGCAGAGCTTTTAAAAATGTGAGCTAAAAAAGAAGCCATTTGATGAGGAATACCCAAGGGGAAAAAATGTTATTTCTAAGGTATGTACAATGTATCCTTGATTGGTAATTTTTCACATTTGATCTGGCATTCTTGAACAAAGAAATACATGTACAGTCACAATGCCCCTATGCTGTATTGAAAATTAGCGTGGGGGGGGGGAATTTAGCACAGTGGGTCAAAATTTTAGCGTAGGGGCCCCCTCGCGCTAGCTACAATGTAGAACCATGAGTGTAACTGTAAGAAATACCCACCTGCAAATGCAAAGGCATATCAATGTTCCAGGTAGAAACCTTAAGCAAACCTGCATGCAATTCTACCGACTGAGAAAATCAGGCTTGGGGTTGAACGGTATCGGCTTTTGTGTTCACTACTTAAGTAGTACTAGCTTTCTGGTATAAAGTACATTAATTTTGCCTGTTACTATTTTCGAATTGTGTAGGTCCAGACTTGAAAATCATGCATATTTTGCAAAAAGTATTTCCGAATTGCAGAACAAAATTTTGACAATCTGCCATATTGCAGAACACTGAGAAAAAGTATTTTGTACCACTGATGATGTATGAAAAAATGTTTCTTGTTCCTGTTGACTGACTGCTGGTTTGCTCCCTGCAGGTCCCCCGTCTCCGTTCCACGCAGGTCTGACCATGCCGTCCCCCGGTACCAGGAACCCGTGGCCTGGGTCCCCCTCCATGCAGGGTCCCTCCCCCGCATCACGGGTGGGAATGGCTTCACCAGGTAAACCATACAACACTCTCCTAATTGTTAAGCATGTCAGCAGAATGTACTGCACTTGTGCAAAAATTTTGCCTGTTGCAGACAATACATTGCAACTTTTTCAAAACTGTAGACAACAGGATGTCATTTTTGATACACGGATATGACCTAAGTTAATATAACAAATGTTCTGCCAAAGGTTACGCACAAAACATTACAGGATTTACGTAGGCACAGCAATTCTGCCAATGTGCTGCAATATATTTTTGAATTGTCAGAGGTCCAGCCTGGATACAGCTTTACGGCAACAAGCAATACAATATGTTTGTGTGACAACTGAAGCAAAACAAGGCTTAAACTCACTTCTGTGAACTGCACTTGAAAAATAAAAATAATTTTACTTTCATCCCATTACCTGGTCGTCTAACCTTCATAGATGTAGCCTAACATTTTGTTATTTAAGAATATTTTTTAAAAAAAAGGTCCCATTGCACTCTATTGCAGAGCATAGGGGTGGTGCTCACATATCCATTGGCACACAGTTGTGCAAGGCACTACAGCAGGGGGCTAGTCCGCTGGTAGTGCTGTATGTTTGACTTTTCCACACTCTTTCTCATATGTGCTGAGTGCTAAGCAGAGAAAGAAGTGTGTACCATTTTTAAAGTATTTGGTATGACCCGGCCGGGGTTTGAACTCATGACCTCCTGGTTACAAAGCGAGCACTCTACCAATTGAGCTATTGCACCCATTTAAGAATATATTGGGTAGAAATGTCAGAATTGTCCCAGTATATATTACAGACCTCCTGTCTCTCCCTCCAGGTGTGGGGATGTTGAGCCCACCCTCCCGTATCCTCCCCCAGCGGTCCTGGGCAGCCTCCATCCCCACCCTGCTGTCCCACGAGGCCTTCGCCACCCTCATGACCCCCTCCCCGCCCCCCGGGGTGATGGGGGGGCCGGCTGCCTACCTGTGCTGTCCCCTGGAGAGGTTCCTGGGATGTGTGTACATGAGGAGGCACTTACAGAGGGTCATCCAAGGGGAGGAGTCGGTGAGTGGAACCGTCTACACTGAGCAGTGTTAGAAATACCCATCTGCATTTTGCAGAGACATTTTCAATATTGTAGACAAAGAATTAAGCAGCCTACAATTTTGCAGACTGAAAAAATCTTACCATTCAATGGTGTTTAAGAGCTTTTGTGTTCACTACAAGTGTTAACTAGTCTTGCCCTTGCAAATGATTCTGAAGTACCGGGGTAAAGAAATATGTCCTCTGCAAATGACATCTACTCTCCAAGCGTTAGACTTCAGCTAATTTTTTACTTGTTTTTATGCATTTTTATCATGCTTTCTTCTTTGTCCTGGTGGATACTGCCTGGCCAATTTGATACTGTCTTTGCAGCCACTGAAAGATCTGCCTGGATTACCTGACATCCTCAAATCTTTTGCACAGCAGTGTTACAAAAGATTACTTTTAGTTACTGTACTTTTACAGAACTGTGACTGTAGAGCATATATGTGTGATTGTTGAGCATAAGTGTAACTGTACACTGTGTGTTTTCCAGCTACACCTGTTGCCATCCAACGAGCCAGGAGTGATCCTGTTCCACGTGGAGTCCATCAACTTCCGTGTGCAGCTGAACCCCTCCACCCTGCAGACACTACACCTGAAGGCCACACCCAGGCCTGGTCAGTACCTGTCTATCACTGCAGTTCCTCATGTCTCTCACTGTAGTTTCCCATGTATATGTTGTATTGTCTCTCACTGCAGTTTGTGAATATATGCTGTTTCTGTATACATGTATGGTTATAACGTCTATCGCTATATTTAATGGCATAGTATGTTACTTTCGTGACAATTGATCATGATGAGACTGTCACATTTGTCATACAAGTTTTTAGCATAGGAAATTTGTGCAAAATTCATCACAGAACTAACAGTGGGCAAGGATCTACTACTGTAACAGTAAGTATACAACTGCTAAGGAAAGCTAAAAACCCAAGGGTTGTCACCATTTGCATCTTACAATAAATGTACATAGTAACTTAGACTTGTAGCAAAGAGTGATCCTCTATTAGTTTTCGTACTACATTGTATTTTGTATTGTATAACCCTTCCTCTATATGTTTGTTTCTCTTACAACAGAGGCTATGGAGATGTGGTCCAGAGAAGAGCTTAATATCCTGGAGAGCTTCTTTGATACAAAGGTTAGATTTTTGCTGTGCTACACCCTCTGATCATGCCATTTTCTCAAAATTTCTCTCTATTACAGTAACTGTTGATTTTACTGCAAGTGCTTTGCAAGAACATGCAGGATAAACTCTAAGGACATGTATTTTTATCTTACCAAATAATGCAGGTTGTGTGCCCACCGTACAAGGCCAACACCCTGACAGCGTTTGGGCGACTGTTGTGTGCTCCCACGGCTGTGCTGAGAGACTGCATCCAGCTGATGAGACTTGAGCTGGTAAGAGCTATATTCTTACAAAGGAACTACTGTAACAATAATTCTGTACTGAGTAACAGCTAGGTAGAGTGGATTAACAACACACTGCCATTATGGTGTGAAAGACTACCTTTGCCTACCTTTGCCATTTTTCTTTCATCGACACCGGACACTCCTCTGTACAAAAATGGACCAGACCGATAATACCAGTCCTTACACACACCAAAGGTCAACACTCGCAACCATTTTCAGACTCAAAGGGGTGTCCAGGGGCTGCCAAAACGCATCATTTTCACACCCGAAAACACATATACAATAAAAACAACAGGACGTGCAACATCTACAGACTAATACAAAATGTAGCAATACGTATACTGAGTCCAAACAAAATCCGTCCACCCAAATACGAGAAACAGCTGCGAACATGAAAATCCCAATCTCTTACAAAACATCGTAATAAATGATGTATCCATATTTGTTTTTTGAGTCTCACCAGTCCTTTTGGTGCTTTCTCTTTTCTCACTTCATACTGTGGGACGTAAGTTTCCTTCTCTGTAACCTGCTTCTATGTCTTACGGTCTTACCCGGTATAATCAAGACGAATTATGGACTTATTGCATGAACCAGGCAGGATACACTACATGTATGACACACATCTTTGACCTATAATTGTTTGTGATTGACAGTTCCCAGACCAGGCTCTGAAGTGGCATCTGCAGTGGTGTCTGACCATCCCACCCAGCGGCTCTCCCCTCGCTCCTCCCGGCACTCCTGCTGTCGTCATCAGGACCAAGATTCTCTTCTTTGTAAGTACACAAAAACCACTGTTTGCAATTTTTTTTGGGGGGGGAAGGGTAGTGGCCTAGTACTAGTAGTAGTATAGTACTTAAAAGAAAGGTCCCGTTCCACTCTGTGCAGAACATGGGGGTGGTACCCATCTCCATTTCTGTAGCCCTTGGGCCACACAGTTGTGCAAGCACTACATCAGGGGGCTAGTCCACTAGTGGTGTGTTTAGAGAAAGCATTATGTACATGTACTATAGTATTATAACCAGTTTGTACAAATTCTCGCAATGCCTCAGGACTTTGTACTATTTACAATTTAACATGCATGCCTAGTGAGCATCTGTACCCCTGTGTTGTATGAACAAACCAATCATTTCAGTTTGTAAACATAAAAACAGCACAAAGTAACGTTATAACTGCAACTCTGTATATAGTTTTTTTACATAAAGTTTTAAACACCACATACAATAAACATTCATGGCGATATGTTTTATTGCCTGCCTTTTTATTTGTTCCTCATGTTTGTGTCTACAGATCCAGTTGACCAGGATGGGCATGCCCCCCACACAGGACTCCACTGTGGTGGTGCCTATTTTATATGACCCCTCCACAAACACAACGCAGCAGGCAGACATATCTAACCGTGCCGGGGCACCGGGACAGGCCGCCCCGCCTAACGCTCTGTCTGGGATGGTGGGAGACATGCTGAAGAGATGGGCTTCCTTCAGCCAGGGGCAACAGGGAAATGGTGAGGACTCTATCTGCATTATCTACATTTTTATGTACATTTAACAAGCACCTCGGCAGAATGTATTGGGCCAGTGCGAAACCCTGATTTTTCATGGTTTTTGTTGGATGTTTGGTCAACGTTGCATCAGAATTTTTTCCGTTGCAGACAATATCTTTTCCAATTAATATAACATTTGGAAACTAGAGATGGGATGTTATATGAGACGTTCTGCCACAGTGCCATGCACAATACATTACGGGTTTCGCGCAGGTGCAGTACGTTCTGCCGACGTGCTCATTTACTTCTCATTCATTCACTTATATCAACCTTCAGCCTGCTAAGGTAGCTGCTTGGCAGCTTGGCACCAAATTTGTATTAGGTATGGGGTCAGGCAGCAGGGAGAAGGTTTAAAGAAAATGCCTTCGCCATCTTTCAATGACATTTAAGGGGTTAGTTTTAATTCAAAGATTTTTGCAACCCCCCTCCCCCTTTATTTTCATTGTAGTTACAAAATTAATGTATCTGGCCAAGTGGTCGTCACCCATTCTCCATATCTAAAATAATAAACAATGTTTTTTTTTTCTTGATTTTCAGATTGCACCATTTTCCCAGCCATACGAGACCTTCTACACAACCTTATTCCACAGTGAGACAAGGAAAAGAATTTCTATGTGAGCAGATACATGTACTGGCCCCAGGAAAAAGACTTTGTCCATTGTAGAAAAGTCTTGTGATATCTTATACATTTTTTGTGATCTATCGTGAGGAAAGAAATTACATGTACATCAAATGTGCAAAGAAGGCAGCTGTAAAATTAAAAAATGTACATGTACGTTGAAGACTTTTTCTACAGCACATATAAACTTGCTTATCTTTCTATGTCAATACTGTAATGCACTCTAGTTGTTGGCGGGGAGCGGATCTTGGGAAGCGGACTAAAGCTAACAAGGCTGGATACCAGGCTACTCTATTGCTATAGCAAAGAGTACCCATAAAACAGTTTCAACAGTATTCAAGACTTTTGTAAGGGTACTAGTAATGTGGTGTGTAGATATTACAATGAAAGGAAGTAGTGTCTTAGAAATACATTTGTAGTCAATGGAAAGACAATACTGATGCAAAAGTCAAATGTGTAAAGAGGAAAAAGAATTTACCTTGCTCTTCAACTGATTGCAAGGAACAATGCAAAGTGGTAGAATTATTTCCCCAGAAAAGGCACTTGCTTTTCAGCAAAACATTCTATTTATATTTAAGATGAGCAGGAAAGTTATAGCCTCTTCTACATGTATATTCTGCTAGCTTTAAGTTACCTACTAAATACTTATTGTCACTGTATTCTATTAAATTTTTTGTGCCATGCAAAGCACAGAGCAATTAATAAAATAAACACATACATGTACATTGTGATCCTGGTGCTGATTTACATCATGGCCCACCTGACAAAAAGTTAAGTTTTGGCCAGCTTCATGAAATCACATGCAAAACTGTACATGTGGCAACTTTGTTCACCACATCATCTTCTTTTTAGAGTAACAGTCATTTTGCAAGACTATTCGCAAAGATGTTGAAAAATAGTAAACGCAAAGAAAAGTTGACAAATAGAAGGCCAAGAAGGTTGCATGAGAGGTTGTGTAACACAGGCTAGAACTTGTAGAAGGCCTACAAAAACAAGTAGGAATTTTACCTTTGCTTGGCCATTTGGCCCCTGGCTATGAGAGCTTATATAACACTGGGTACAATTAAAAGGACAATGATCTCAAACCGGTTTAGCTGACTGAAGAGCTACTCTCCCACGGTTGTGACAGAGAAGACAGACGTATTTACAGGTTCATTGTACTGATGAAATTTGCCCACATCTTTACAATGAGCTGCTATGAACAGTGGGCTATAGCTCAACATCCCATCGCAAGCACTGCGTCCCTTTAAGTAGCCTGCATGTTGAGTGAGCGACAACAGATGGGATTCGAACTCCCAACCCCTTAACATTGCCAGAGGCAGGGTCACTAACCACTGGACTACACAAGCTACACCGACGTCTGGGCTGGAGGGACGTAAAGTCAATCCACAAACATCACAAAGCCCTCCTACTACATAAGGCCCTGAACAACCAACTTCCGCCGTACATGCGCCGGATTTTCACATACTGTAGGGATAGAGCGACCAGAAGCACCAGACAAAGCGCGACTGATCTCCTTGCGGTACCGATGCCATTGAGAGAAATATACCGGAGATCCCTAGCCTACTCTGGCTCCCTTGTATGGAACGCTCTTCCCCAGCATGTTAGAGCAGCACCTACTCTTAGAACCTTCAAAAGACTGCTAGTATCGTAATTATAACTGACTTTGACTGAACGACTTTGGACACAACGACTTATGAGTTATTTATTAGTTATTGCCATTTTGTTTATTTATTTACTTTGTGTGAGTTACCTTGTGTATAAAAATTATTACTTTGTTTTCATTTGTGAGCAAGTAGAATTCATGTTATGACCCCCTGACACTCCTCCACGCTCGACCTCCGAGTATGAAAAGCGGCCGAAATATAGCGGCCGATTAGAGCATGTAACATAGTTACAGATCGAGTTGAAATAAAGGCTCAAACAAACAAAACAAACTAGTATAGAAAATTATCTTCAATTGGTTTCAATTCAATTTTGAAAAATTATCAATTTTCAGGCAGTTTCTGGAGATGCTATAGACTGGTATCACCAATCATGAGGTCACCACCAAGACCCAATGAAGGAACTGGTCTGTTCTAGTTTGATATTTGAGAACCGTGCCCTCAGGCACACTGTGGCCTCACCTTCTTTCATAATCAGTACTAACATTCTTTCAGCATATTACAAGCTCAGGATCAAGCATATTGGAGAAAATTCTACGTTATGAGTTGTTCGTTCAAACGAAACTGGTTTACAGCTACATTGATAGTTACTTGAAATTGACTGTAAGGTCCTATTTGCACTCTTAGGCTGTGAGGTAATGGTGTATGAATAATGATGATTAATAACAGTAACACAAGTCATTGACATACAGAAAAAACAATGCCAGTTAGACACTGACTGTACAAATGTATCTCTAAGCAGATGTAAGTTTGTATTTTGGCGGACAGGCCTTTCCTACATGTACATGTTTGCATGCATGTGTATGAGAAGACCAGCATGCTCCCAGCATCTGCTTGGAGATTGTGATTTATTAACATTGATCAGAAAGGTTAAATTTAACATGAAGAATGTATCTATTATTTACGTCCATTTCGGACTATTATCTTTTTTCTCTCTTTAACAATTAATCTCCAGATTTTTTTTGACATTACAAACTTAACACGACAGAGGTTTTATACTAAGCCCTAGAAAACTCTGTATATATTATCAAATTCATTAACAAGGATCATCAATTCCATAAAGTCTTAGTATACTATAATTAACTTCATGAATTTAGCTAAGTATTGTCAACATCTACAAATAACAAAATCAACGTCGTTTTACAAATGTATATGTAACATTAGAACAACTAGTGATCAACAACAGGTTATCTTGAGCCTATATGTTTGAGGTCAGTAATGCTTTCTGCACCCAAGCAGATGTAGGGTAAATGAATCATGATTATGGCAAGTCTGTAGGATGTATTGGTTTGGGCAGCGGTGATTTAGCGGTTTGTATGTTTGGATTCCAGATGTTGCATCAGTCCACAAGACAGGAACATGACAGGCCGTGTGAAGTGGTGTAGTACCCGATGACATTACATCATCACGGAAATCCCAAAAAACTTTCCAGAAGCTAAGTCTGAAATCTCTGATTCCTTGTCATCACGTAGTCAGACTCCGTCGGAAGTTGCCCTTGGCCGGTGGCGGGGGTTTGGGTGGGGGTTTCTTCGCGGCGCGTGCGCGCATCCGCCACATGCGGGCCGCCCGCCCGACTCTCGCGAAGCGGTCATAGTCATCGTACACCTCAGGGTCGTCCTCCTGAGTCGAGATATTCCGGTTCTTCTTGGCCGTCTTTATCTTGTTGTTCATTTCTATTATCCCCATTCTTTTCTGGAATTCGAAAAAATAACAAGATTATTGAAGTTATTTTGTACCCTGTTTCAATGTTCTTTTATCTTTGTTATTTGCAATTAGCCTCCGGGCAGGAATTTGCAATAAACTCCATTGAATAGATATGGAAAAGACAAGATTCTGTGATCTTCGAGCTCATCCCGTTTCCTGTACCTGATCTGCTGTCATTCTGCCTGTCAATCTTCCCCAACCCATGTGCTGTCAACCTACTCTGTCTGGACACAACATACGCAAACCCACAGCTCAGCCAACCAAATACAATATACTTTCTATGATAAAGAAAATAACTGGATCTTTACCCTATTTCCTACTGTTCCTTCTGGAACAAAGTGGTAGAAAGGGATGAGGGTCCCCTCGACTTTGGGGTCATAATATTTGTCTTCTTCGTCATCGTCAGAGTCGTCCGAGGATGGGTTTCTTTTCTTGCGACCCCAAAAGGCCCTGGTGCCCAGAATGAGGCAGAAGAAAAGAGAACAGACCACCATGAGCCCCGCACTCCCTCCGATAGCGATGAACAGTCTCTCTAAGTCAGTCATCTCTGGAGGGTTGTAGGTACCGGTAAAAACCTGGGAAAAACACGACAAAACATTACAGAAATGTACTAGGATGTAAAGCAAATAACTCGCCACCCAACACGGACTTTCGGCTGTTGTGCCAAAAGAAAAGGTGGCACTGCATTGAGCCATTTTGACCATAGCTCAAGTCCCAACTACTAAATATCGTATCAATCTACTCATAGATTTATCATGTACGTTGATGAAGGTAACGTTAGATATCCATATAATAAGACAATATATTAAAAGACAAATCAAACTCTACTACTGGATAAATTACGGGATTTATCAAGAACCAGAGTTTGATTTGAATATCCGTAGAGTTATGCTACTAGTATTCACCATCAAAACTACATTATTCACAAAACAAAATTCACTAATGAAGAAAGATGTAAAAAATAATGTTCTGACAAAGAAAAGTAAATCAAGCCGTCCCAGAATTTTTATTCCAAACAAATAAAGATAAGACAAGTTTAAAACTGAAATGAACATACCGTTTTGGCTACCAAAAGGAATTCTTTTATCCCGCTGAAGTTACTCTCCGCGTCCGGACTTGTGATGTCTTCCATGAAGGGTTCCATGAGGGTCTTGGCGAGTTGGTCTGTCAGAGTCTGGAACGCCACCAACCCCGTGGAGATGTTCAGCTGAGGTCGACCAGAAGAAATAATATTGTGTAAACTGACACGATATTTTTAATATCGTGTTGTTAATGTTTATTGAGAATGAAAACTCCTGGAGTTCGCAGACCACAGATTTATGGGGTTTGTACATAAACGTCACGAACAAGGTACACTCACTAATAACTTGTTACATCTAAAAATGCCTTAATTTAAGATAACTGACACATTTTAAGATGTTCACATGATTGACAAAGATCAATACACTCAAAACAATTTTAAAGGTTTGGGCAATTTTAGATTTTTAGGTTATTCAAACGTCCTGTTGGGCTTTTTATTTCGTTGGCTTTCCTTTGGGTTTTAATTCTTTGTGTTATTAGGATCTTTGTCAGTGTTACATGGTTTATAGACTTTCTACCTTGTTGGCTTTTGTTTGGTTATCCAACGTAACTTCAGCATGAGTACAAAATCAAATGGGAAATGACCTGAAAAAAAAAACGCCCGCGGGGTGTGTTGTAGGACGTTTACGCATTTGTGGGTGAAAAGTTTATCTTTGACGTCATGAATATTCTTGTCATTTCATATTATGTTGTTAACTACACGCATGGAGACAATGAGATATCTCTTTGTATCCCGGAAAGTGACATTTGCAGACTTATAATGTAACTTTTTGTCTGCAAATGTCATAGGTCGTTCCAAGGTCAATGAATTTAGCTGCAATGTTGACAACACAAAGCAGTGTACTCTATATACAAGGCTGCTTTTTGGTTAATTGCAGTTATGAATTTTTCGCAATGAATTCTAACATGCCATAGGTGAGTTTTCAAGTCCGTTCAGTTCTTCTGTTAGACAATTATTTCTTTGGATTATGGTATCAGTTATTTACGGTATCAATTATGTACTTAACTGGTGTCAATTGTTATTATTTTGTTTCTTGATTCAAATGTTGATTAAGCTATGTATTGTTATTTCAATTTATTAGTCACTTGGTTTCTTGTGTGTCTTCTTTTAGGTGTGAGGAAGGCCTCGGATAGACCAAATTGGTCTCTGCCTTTCCCCCAGCACACTCTTCTTGTGTAATCTGCTTTGTTTTGGTTTTTATCATTTATGCACGAATAAAGAATACTAGAAACTAGAAAGGTAACATTTGCAAAGCAAATGCATAATGTTTACCTTCGCATATGGTCTGTTCTGTTAATTCTTACTCAAACACATTCATATATATATATGGTGACAGGAGTCTAAATCCCTCCTACTATAAAATTGTAACATGATGTAACCGGCCCAACACTAGTTACCATGGTGACAGACGTCTGGTTAACGGGTCATTGGCTTTATTTGTTTGGAGAAGAAGAAGAAGGAACTGAGCAAAATTTACCAGTTTCCTGCTGAAGTCGAAGCTGACGACCGTGTCCTCTCCACACGTCCCGGCACGAATTTCGCTCAGCCGCATGTGGCGCGTCATCGGGGCGGTCTCGTTCGGGTGGCTGCAGACGATACAAAGTTATAAATGTGTTTCCAAGTCACGTACAGAACGTGCCCTGCGCATGTTACGTGCCCCAGGCATGTTCATTTTTTTGTCAGGAAATCATTATAACTGACATTTTGGACTAGAAAAGAAGGCTAACTTCGCTAGCTTTGTCAAATGTGCAAGAATAACTGGTGAGGGCACGGTCACATTCGACGTCGTAAGCTATGATAGAACCAACCGTCGATAATGATCGACAACAACGTTTTCTTTGTGTACATCTTCACAACTGCTCTGAGAATTTCCCCGAGCCATCGTTGACGTTGTAGACCAGTTACTGTACTTGTGACTGAAGCCTAGCTTTAAATGATTATTGGAAGACTTTGTGAGTGTTAAAACATAGCAACAGTCACATATCAACACGAATCTAAAGTGGATTGACTGGAGTATCATACTGAACCCACCTACTGGAAGGAATTCTTTCATTGTGCACGTGCAAATTCATTGACCTTCAACAAACCTGTTTTAGATTTATCTAATAGTGCGATTCAAGTGACTCTTTTGTAAGTCTTTGTTCTTTTTAGAAACCCATTTTCACTTGGGCCCTTACTTAAAACTTCTAATGTTTAAATGAGCATATTCATCACGTATAATATTACCAGTACATCCAGATAGAAATATATGTAAGAAGGATCGTTTAGTGCATGTATATTTTATGTACAATCATGTATATATCTACAGATTTGTTATTTTGTCTGGCCCTGACATCCTCTCTTGTGGGCTCAATGAAAAGCCCCGAACATGCTGTTTTGAGTATGAATAAACAAAGGCTCAAACTAACAAACAAACAAACAAACAAAGTGAAAGATGTACTCACGGGTCGTATCGGTAGAGAATGGCCAGTGTCACCACAAACCCGTATTTACGGTGATGACAGTGATTCGAACAAGGACATTTGCTCTCCACCGAAATCGACGTCAAGATGTCGTTTAGTTCGTCAACTATGAAATATGACAGGAATGAATACATATTTAAAAGCCGAGAACAGCAAATACAAGTACACAAAAAAAGAAGTACATACAACACAGAAAGATACACATACGATGGCACAAAAACACCACCACAAATGCAAAATAGACACACTCGCACAAACACAAACGCACACACACATACACACACACACACACACACGCACACACACACACACACACGCACATACGCACACACACACACACACACATACACACGCACACACAGACACAGATACTTATAATGACACATATCTCATGCAATAAACGTGCATGACTTGTAGTTATCATGACCAAATGGCGAACAGTAATATTTGCAAAATGACAAATAACGATAATATCTTGCCCATTTCCCAGTCTTCAAGTGGTGTAATTATGGCCGCCGAGTCAACAACTATAATTACAAGTCGCTAACCTGCCTGAGGCTATGTTAGATAACAGGCAAACAGGATAATTTCTGTCACTCCTAAGAGGGAATTCTTTCAGAACAATTTTAACTGTAACAGCTGCAGCGTAACACTTTCACCACTTTCAATTCTAAGTTGGTACTTAATAAAATTACCCCCTTTCTTGCACGAAAATGCCACACCACTTCTTTAAGGTCACCCACATCTCTACAAGGACAACTTAAAAGCTACTATTATTATGAACGTTCATCTGTGTTGGTAGTGATCATAGTAAAATGTTAAACATAATTCCAGGCCAACACAACGGTTACAGAGAGATCAAATTTCAACCACCGATACCACTGTCGCCTTCATCACATTCAGGATAAAGGTGACAGTGGTCGTTGAAAATTTGTTATCTCTCTGTACTGGCTATGTTCGAATAAAGTTCAACATTTTATCATTGAATGAAATACCTTTATTATACGTTTGTGCTCTAACAAGCTAAGTACAGGTCATGAATGAACAGGGAAAAAGAATACAGTAATGACACTTACATACTATACATACTAATGTGATCTACTATTTACAGGTTCAACTTCTTCTCGTGTCTTGACGCAGTTAAAGATGTACGAACATATTGAGCTAATGATACATGGTTTGTCAAGTTTCATGAGGAATTCGAATTATTAAAGCCTTGTAGATTTACCTTGTTCAGTAGTGAACAGTCCACTAGGATCGCAGACCCAAGACGAGCTCGCCCTACGACACCGTCTGGGTTCAGTCCGTGGGTTGGGGTAGATGTGTCTGTTTACAAAGTTCCAGACCCACCGGGTCGGGATCATTCGGGTCGGGTCGAGCGGGGTCGTAGGCGGGGCCGGAGACGTGCTCTTCCCGAGAACTTCAGTCGTCCTTGTTCGGTTAAAGTCGGTTGTTGTTGACGTTGGTTCAAGAGGCGTAGAGGACACTTTAAAAGAAGAAATCAGGTTTACGAAATTCGTCGTCGAGATTTTCGTCGTCCTTCTGTTAAGGTCGTTCGTGTACCGCCGGCGGGTAGTTTTTAATGGTGTCGAGGACTCTGTCGAAGTTTTCATTGATTCTAACAATTTTGTGGTCGTTTGGCCATTGAAGTCGGTCGACTGTCGTCGAATGGTACGTCGTGTTGTCGTAGAGTAGGGTTGGGGTGTGGAGGATTCTGACAAAGTTGCCGCCGAATTTAATACATTCGTGGTTGAGTGTTTCGTGGTCGTTCGCCCGAAAGAAATTGTTGAACGTGTTAACCTTACAGTAGTTGGGACCTTCGTCGATGTTCGACTAAAATCGGTAGACTTTTGTCTTCTTGGTGTTGTACGAGGTTCCTTGGAGGATAAACTCATGGGTCTGTTCGTCTGAATTTTTGTAGACATGCCAGTTGATATCAATCGGCGATTGGATCTCACTGTAGACTGTATGAGGCCCACAAAATCACGAGTAGTTCTAGTCTTAACAGCGGTATTTCTGTCACTAGAGGCTGTACGAGTGATGGTAGTTCTGTTGTTATAAGGTGGCATTGTGGTCTTACCAGCGATGCCTCCCTGTGTTTGGGACGACGTCCAAAGTGGAGTGGGTGCAGTACTTGTGGTGCCATTACGAACAATTGTCTGGCCGTAAACTGAAGTATCTACAGCCACAGACAAAACAAGAATCAACACAATCATCACCTCGACCATCCCACCAGTCACGAACCGTCCACAGAAAAGCGTTCTTCCCCCAGATGTGGTTGTTTTTAAGCCATGAAGGTCTTGATCACTCTCGGCAGATTTTCACCTGTATAACGCTTGACTTGTCATGGTTAGCCGAAAGCCGCCATACCACTTTTCCCGTGGTAACATTCTCCGTAAAGTTGCCGTCGCCTGTTCAGAACTTAACAACGCACATTTCAGAGTTGAGAACCGAGAGAGATGCGGAAAAATCCTGTCGTTTTCGTGGTTTCAACTCTTTCACGATGGTTGATTTTATGGGTTGTAAAATGGCGTGAGGATTGTGACGTTTCCTTGTGTCGGTGGCTTGTACGTCATGGTACGGGGGTTCGCCAAGGTCTGCCCAGCGGCGGGAAATAGCCTCCTGTGCAGGCCTCTGGGCGGGCGAAGTTTTGATGCGTTTTGTAGAATTTTTAACGCGTTCTTTTGCCGGCCATCCTACAACCGGCCGTCCAGAGAAGGTTTGTACCCTCTACGTATACAAGAATACAAACCTTCTCTGGGCGGCTGGTTGAATTCGAAAATGGCCGGCAAAAGAACGAGTTAAAAATTCTACAAAAGGCAGAGTCAAAACTCCCACCCGCCCGGAGGCCTGCAGAGGAGGCTAGGCGCGAGAGACGATCTGATAAATGTTTGTTTGGCCGCGTGATCGCCTGGGGTGCCCCGCGCAAGGATTCCTTAAGGTCAGCTTAGGAGAAAAATGTACTTTTATTAAGAACGTATATCCGGCAATATGCTTTCAGCTGACCTGACTCGGTAGAGAATGTATATTTTCTAGATATGAATCATACATTGTATCACTACATGGATATATGTTTATACATGATTAAACTCTTAAAGGTGCCTTCGGGCAAAAATGGCAGTGTTTTAAATCACTGTATAACGATGCTTTGTTTGAATAGGTTGTCTTTGATGAGTCATGGTATCTACTTAGTAATACGGGGCCAATGAGATTATACGGGGCATTTCTTCATGGGTCATTGGGCATAACAATAAGCAGATCAGTGGACATTGCTGTATTGATCTGCTTGGAGATTATTGCTACATGTATGTGTCCTTACTGGGACCTTAAGACCCAGATATAGATACACTGACAAAGCTGGTTCTGAAGGCCACACATATTTTCATATTTGGTCCCCTAGGCAATATGTACTCTAATTCCATACAGTGTATGGATTTAGATAGGTTGAGCCTAAATCTCCTGCAATCGCCGCTTACATTTACATGTATGTCTGTCGTATTCTGTACCTAATAAGCCTACGATCGTCATAAACGTTGGACGTTGCAGTACTGAGTAATGTTGCTAGACGGCGCTGTGAAACCGTCTGTCACATTGAAACATACTTCATGCACACATAGGACCAGGCACGTGTTTTTCGCACGTTGCTTGAAAATGAGTTGGTGTGTATGATTTTCATTTCAGAGTACTATCAAGATTTTGCGAATGCATGATGGTTTGTATGCTATTGGACTGTCCATGAACCCACTACACTTATGGAAAAGAGTGGGGGTAACGTGGGGGTCCTTCCTGTTGTGAGTGGATCAAAACTACAGTATTCTGGGCTATATGGGGTAAGAAATGGTCCTGAGTAGCTTCTCCTATTGGTCCACTTAGGCTTCACCCTCAGTGAGTCACTCACTCACTCACTCACTCACTCACTCACTCACACTCACACACTCTCTCACTCACTCACTCACTCACTCACTCACTCACTCACACTCACTCACACTCACTCACACACTCTCTCACTCTCACTCACTCTCACTCACTCACTCACTCACTCTCACTCACTCTCTCACTCTCACTCACTCACTCAATCGCTCTCACTCACAAATAGAGACAGCCTGTTTGTAAGTTTATGATCACAATATATATTGATACTAAGAATTCACAACAGCATTTGAAAATTTGAGATACAACAAATCAATAAACAGCAGCATCAATACTACATCATTTCACAACTTATTCCTAACAAGGTCGTTATTTGACTCAAATTAGGTGCTTTTGGAGTGACAACAATAGTAAAATGTCCACAATGGACAATTCTCCCCTTTTAACAGGTGTCTGGCACTACAATTATAGAAGACTTTGTGAAGAATTCAATACCTTAAACTCTTATAACACAGCATGAAAAAGCTATTTACACGAATGTTTCAGTGGTACAAGGCCTGTATTGCATGATGCGGAATGTGGTAAGCAACAAATATTGCTGGGACGTTTTTTTGAGAAGATTTAAAGTGGCAACCCTGTAACTTTTCCAGTTTTTGTTTCTGTGCAAATCTATGGCATTCCACCACACCAAATCCAGATCTTACATATTTCCAACACACAAAATAATGTGGGTTTTGTCTTGTAGTCAGGTGACTGTATTTCATCAATGGGTACCCATCGTTGCTAACCAAATCTGAGAAGTAAAAAAATTCCATTTTCTATCTTTGTATGAACTTGAAAATTGGATTACACAACTCTCCAACCTGTGAAGCATTGCTAACACTACATCATAAGAAAAGCCTGGGAAACAAACCACTGATACTTTTAGGCATCAATTTTGTAAAATGACTAGAGAAAATATAGAGTATGAGAATTGAGGATGTGGCAGTGCAGTGAGGATGTGCTGTGGATGGCAGGTAGGTCGTAGGTCAGTGCAGAGCCTTCACGTCTTCTTGGTCTTCATGTTCTTCCCTCTGAAGTTGTCGTTCCACCTGCGGACACAAAAAAACAACTTTACATGTACATCACTGTTTCAACCATTCCTTGCCAATACACCTAGGCAGAATACATTGTAACGTACATGTACATGAGAATCATCAGAGAAGAACACAAGATACAAGTATGCTTGTATGTGTGAATGTTTTTAGGGCAATACAAAAGGAAATTTTGTGCAAGGGACAAGATAGCTCTTACAATTTTTCCCTCCGAAAACTGAGTACCCCAAGGGCGATACTTGGCCCACAGACTCTGTTTTGCTCTTGAGTTCAGCATCATTCCAGAACTTAGTATTCTCGTCATCATCACCACAGCTTGTCACTGTAACTCTCCAGTTCACATTCATAACAATCTGGAACAAACTGGACGTCGAGAGCAGGGCGTTGGGAGCTAACGCTTCGAGTCCAACTGACGCGGCAGCTTTAAGACAAGTTCATGCGCAACAGGTTCAACCAACATTTCAGTGTGGACATTCCGTGCTCTTGGGTGCTGTCGTGTGGCTGCACCTCCTGTCGCGCTACGAGGCCCCGTTAAGTCCAGTTATCATTGCTTTTAACATCATGTAAATTTGTATATATATTATAGTATCACTGTTTTGTATTTTGTATTTTTTTATGCACATTGTCTATTTATTTGTGGGCATGGTGGCCTTGAAAAGGTGCACTTAGGTGCACCTGTTCCACCATGCCCTCCATGTATATTATGTATGTGGTTAAGTGTAATAAATAAATAAAAAATAAAAATAAATAAATTCACACATATATTCTGAAAACCAACAAAATAAATGTGTGACAAGGGTTTTGAATGTAAGATGAGGAAAAATGAATTTACACAACAAACCTCTTCAAAGTCTGCCATGAGGTCCTCTTCACTAAGGCGATGGCCGAGGTCCACGTCGTCGTAGGATGAGCTGAGCCCGGTGCCGCGCCCGTCGTCATGGACGATGCCCAGCTCCGTGTCTGTGTCCAGCTCCGCCCCGTCCGGAGTCACCATGCTCATTCTGGAGATCTGACCGTCAGCTGGGAGTAAACAAGGGCAAATGGTAATGAAATGGAATTATGTGTCTAAGATCAGTTTTGAGCCTTCACTTCTGAGTTTTGTAAGGCTAGGAAATTTTATCAGTAAACATCATGACCAATTAAAAAAATTCCAAGACCTAAATACTCTTGAAAAAAAGACTCTTTCAGCAAAATTGCAACAAATATACATCAGATTTTTTTGAGTGTTAATGGCATTGCATTACAATTTAGCACATAAGAATGACACAATTTTCTAGTGTTGTATATTATTGCAGAACAGACACTGAATGCAGCTACAGGACGTTCCCAGGACTGCATATGCAGAACAAAGTCAATGGAAGAGAGAGACATTATTGCAGCTCAGCAAACCATTCCCATACCTAGGATACAAGAGTTTTCCTTTACACAACCAAACACACAAAAGTGCCACCTACATTGGCTAGTACATATAGCGGCGAGAAGCAAAACCTCAGTCAGAAGCTCTGAGGAAGGTGTCTGACAGACACCGAAACGCCAGCAAGGTAAACAGTTTGGTTGTGTAAAAGAAAACTTTAAGACTCGTATCCTATATTTTACCAACCTGATGAAGCTATTTTCGGGAACATTTTCCTACCTGTGATGCGTCCTGTCTGCGAGGCGAGTTCCCACTCCAGCTGGTCTAACGTTTCCCTGTCGTCCTGATCGTGATCGTCACTCAGCCGGTCGAAGTCCGCCAGGTTGTCGCCCAGCCTGGACTCTACGTTGCGCTCGTAGCCCTGGTCGTGAGACTCCGACCTCTCCGGGATGCTCTTGTCCACCTTGACCAGGTCACAGCTCTTTCTCCTGACGTCGCGCTGGTACAGGCTGATCTCGCTTCCGTCTTCCCCGTCATCGTAGTCCACGTGGTTGGACGGGGAGAGGGTGGTGCGGGGACTCCTCTTGCCCTCCTTGTTCCCCCTGCTGCTGGTCTGTTTCCTCTTTGGCTGCGGGGACGGCGACCTAATGATTCGGCACAAAAATGCTGTTTCTAATTGTGTTGGTTGAAGAGCTTCATCAATCACATAAAATTAGCAGTTAGTAGAATATTCCACAATCACAGTGACTGTTTTTGAAAGGTAGAAACACTGCACATTGTGTTCTCGTGAGACTAGATCACTCTGTGATCAAGATGTACAGTGGACATGGAAATTTGGAGGTACATGTACGTGTTTCTACCTTTCTATGACAGTCACTGAGGAATAATAGTGTGTTGGTTTTAATGATTCAGAATAAGTTGATTGTAAATTTTGACGTAATTCAGTTTTTACTGCAATAAAGCCAATACTGGTATGTTCTTTGCTTTATGAATAAACCAATCACTACCTTCTGAGGTCCCCCGACGGTGGTCTGTCGTCCTCCGGACATTGCTCCATCACCCCCTCCATCTCATCGCTAGACCACCTAATGATAATCATTATGATATGTTATTAATATCATTAAGTACTTTTTTTTTCAGAAACACAGTGATAAATACAGATGAAAGGACACGGACAAAGTGGCTGCAAACTCAAGTTAGGTACAACTTATATTCTCGCAGTCACTTTTACAATGGAAAAAAAATACTTTACAAGACGTTATGTTGATATATGTTCATTTTGAACAAGATTGAACTGTAATTGCCAACACAAAAAATTGTACTCACCCAAATTTTCAACTGTACAACTCCAACACAGATGAACTTTCAATATATGAATCATTTTATTACTTTGATTATATGCCAATAAACAAACAAACCTCCTGGGAGGGGGGGCATTCAGAGTGATCACCCCCGGCTCTGGGGGGGACACCAGCTCCTCGGCTTCGTCCTTCGGGGGGGAGAACCCGTCACCCCCCTTCAGGAAATCCTGGATGCCGAAGTCCATGAAGTGTATGACGGTGTGGTCGGCAACACTGCTCTCAGGTCTCCAGAAGGAAAAACCTACTGGAAACACAAATATGGCAGATATATTATACGAGATTCATGTAGTATTACATTTGTATGCTACATGTAGCTAGTTTATTGACACTTTCTCAGTTGACTTGTTTAGCCCAGAATTAAACAATTGTGGTGGTGTAGATTTGCTAGACTCCTTACATAAGGGATTCTGTAACATGTACAATGTCTTTGAAGTGTACAACATACATGACTTATTATGCACATTGATTGGTTGTCTAGGATTCTTGCATTTAGTTAACTAAAAAGTTCCCCCTGCAATGGTCAATACAGATGTGAACATACATTGTGCTGCATGTAATACATTGGATGCTTGTGCAATACTACTTACTACTACCACTACATTTTTGTGCCATCAAAATTGCCATACATTCTCTTTTTTTCAAATCATATATCTATGACCGGGATGGATAGAGAAATAGTTTGACTGGAAAGAATGCATCAACAATTCTGTGACCTAGCACCCATGACTACTAGTGCTACTGTTGTGTTACGCCGAAGGGCGGTTATACCAACTATACAGATACAGATATTGCATGACTACAATGTACTACCATGGATGGTACTACATAATATATCTACAGTGCAAGACCACTACTTCTACCACAACCTGTATCTACTATTACCTACTACTACATGTGACTACACCAAGGCTAAATCTACAGAGACTACTAGGACTACTGCATGACTACTTCTGCTACTGCATGACTACAAAATTAATGTACAATGTACTACATAATATACCTACAGTGCAAGACTACTACATGTACATTGTGTACTTCTACCACAACCTCTATCTACTATTACCTACTATGGTACTACATGTGACTACACCAAGGCTAAATCTACGGTGAAAAACTTAGGAAAAGAAAAACACACAAAGTCATAATGCCTGCAGTATACCTGTGGAGTCAACATCATCACTGCTACCTTTAAAAGTAGCATCAAGAATTTTCTTGTGATGTTCTGGGGGTTCAAGAATCTCGGGAGTTGCCGAATTCTCTGCTTTCTTCACTCCTACCAGGAAGAAGTCCGTCAGCCCTTCTTCGTAGCGGTGGAGTGGGTTTGTAGCCAGGCGACTTGTGGCCCTCAGAGCCTATAAGAGGGTCAAAAGAAAACTTCAGAATCTTCATCACTTACTCTCACACTCCCCCAGGCACCCACACACACACATGCACACACACACTGACTCTCAGGCCACCTCCCCACACATACTAGTACACACACTGAGTGTGACTATCAAGTTCATCCTACCCCCCCCCCACACACACACACACAAACACACACAAATTCACTGACTCTTAAGCTATCCCCTACTCCCTCCACTCACAGACTCCCATGCAAGCCACCCCCTACCCCCTGGGAACACTCACTCTTAACTCTAGATACATCTCAAGTCCCCCGCCACACACACACATTTACACAAACTGACACTCAACCCACCTACCCACTCAATACTTTTAACCCACTTACACTGAGTCACTCATGATGATACTGATGCTGTAGTTTAAAAAACTTATTCCCAAGTAAAAACTGACTTCACATTGGAAAATTACCTGTCATCAATCCGTAACAACGCATTTACGTTCATATTCTTGTAGTAATAGTTTCTTAAAATAGCTAGACTAACTGTATTGATCGCATAATGTCATTGTTGCCATATATTGTACAATGTATAACTGTCGAGCAATAAAGTTCATTCATTCGTTGATTCCATATAAGTCTGAGTAAACTGTAACAGGCCCTCCTACCTGTGAGGGCTGCGTAGTGATCCCCCCTCCTGGAAGTATTGGTTCCTGCCGGGTTGGAAGACTCTCTGCCCTTCTGATGGCGTGCATCCTCACCCTGGGTGTGTATGACTCTAAGATCATGGACTCGGACTGGGCTTTCCCTTTGGTCTGCCCCAGCTTTGTCCGAGAGATGGGTCTGCGCTGACGGCCACTACGCTGACGTTCCGTCGACGGCTTGCCTTCTGGTCTGGTCGGGGCGTGCGCTGACCCCCCACTTTTCTGCTGCTGAAGTTTCTGTTCCAGTCTCTCCCGCGAGGACTGTGATTTGGGCCTGCTCTGAGTCCCCCTTTTTGACGAGGCATCTTTGTCTGGAGTCTCTGGTTCTGGGTTGTGTTGCTCCGATTTTGGCACAAATGCTTCTTCAATTTGAATACTGTAGGAGAATAAAGTTGAAATTTTCATCCCTTAATTCCCTCTACTACATACAGTCAACAGGATTTGTAACAAAACAAAATTTCTAAGTTAAGAAAAGTTCATTATGTTTGTTTCAAACTTCACAGACCTTGAGGAAGACACAGGCCTGTATGTTTGTTGGGACAAGTCATCTCCCTCATCCACCATGTAGGAACTTGTTTCTTCAACTCCTGGGGTTGACATCACCTGCAACGTCACACATCGGGAACAAAGCTTAGCGCACAGATTCTGCTAAATCAACATTGGGACACTGTGTCTATAGTGCACGGTATTGGTAGGTGGAGAGCATCCTTTCCTTCCACTGACTATGACCTCCCCAACCAAAGTCAGGTACCCATTTTACACCTGGGTGGAGTGAGGAAAGTCCTGTAAACTGAAGGGCACTTGTCTTGACAGCAAGACCTCTTGGTCTCTTGTCTTCCTAGCATACCCATTTAATGCCATTCAATGCCACCAATACAAAATAATAGACATTACCTTGAAGTAGAAAATATATTGTACTAGATACAGAACATTAAACAGGACAACTGACTTTCAAAATAGTGAATGAAATAGTATCATGATATGTCTGAGGACAAAAGAAATAAGTTTCTATGGCCTGAGCCTGTGCCTTACCCCTGATAACTCAGTGATGTGCACGTCTGTGTCCTGCCTGCTGTAGTCAGGTGGAGACTGTTTGCTGCTGCCCTGGTGGTGGAACATCTGCCTGATACGCTGGTGTTCCTCCTCTTCATCTGGATACAGAACAACAAAAAGGTTATTCAAAGACACTTTAAGCTGTTAAATACTGAATAGGAACTACTGAACAAAGACTCCTACTAACTAAAGAATTGAAGAATTGAATTGAAGAAAGACACTGTCACTACGCTGCGTGCTTGCAAAGCAAAGTGTGTGCAAAGTTTCTTACCTGACAAAAAGAAGATTTGTTGGTCATCGTCCTCCCAGGCCTTCCTCATATTCCCATTGGCTTGGTCTGATGTGGGGAGGGCAGGGACGTCCTCTCTACAGGACACAAAAAAAACAATACAGGGTTGAAACTCAAGCACTCTGTTTAACACTAACATGAGGAGATCTTTTAAGAGTAGGAAAAGCAAAAAAAAGCAAATAAATTACTTTCATTACTTGTATTGCATACTGAAACTAGAATGAAATAGAAATGTAAATTTTGGTTCTTTGACAAAAATCTTGACAGGCCAAGCTATGTTGCATTGTGAAATTACATGTACATACATGTACATGTAACATTACAATGTATTATCTATCTGACCTCCTGTGTTTCCTGAGTAACAGTTTGTCCATGTAGCTGATGGAGTGTTGTTGGAAGTGGATCTCCACAGGCGTGGTCGTCCTTCTTCTGTCATCTGCTGTCCCACAGCCAGAGTCTGACACTGAGGGGAACAACAACGGCGTTGGTGAAGGTTAGACATTCAGGTAATAAGCTACGCCCAAAAACAGTCACTCAAGCAACAAAATATGATCCTGGAAATGGTCAGTCGTTCCTTATAACAGTCAGACGCACTTATAAACCTGAGAAATACTGTTGCTGACGAAAGGTATTGGATGCTACCTGAAACATCTGATTGTTTACAAAAATATAATATCCACTTACTTGAGTAACTGTTTTTTGTGAAACAACAAGTGGCGTTGATTCTAAATGTTAGACATAATAAGATACACAAGAAAACTGTAAAGTTAGTGATACTCAAGTAACTGGTACTCAAAATCTATCCAGTTGCTTGAGTAACAATTTCCTTGTGCAAGAGCAAGTGGATTCAGCACAAAAGTGTTTTCTGTGTACTGAGGGTGAGGATACAAATTTATTTCCATATGAAATTCAATTACTGTGACAGAAATTTACTTCAAATTCATCATCATTGTATTTGACAGGTGGCTCAAAAATGATGAATTATCTTTGGTTGACCTTGCTGCTTTTGATTGATGTGCCCAAAACATGATATTCAGAAAACTGGAAATAAAATTCTCCTGACTCCTGACCATACTTATAGCATTATATATTCACTGAAAAGCATTACCTTTTTGACATTTACTGGAACACGTCACATATTTGACAGGTGTACAGGTTTGACTTTTAGTGTTCAGATTTGGCAGGTAGATGTATGCTGAATGACAGGTGTCTAAATTTGACGGGTGTACTGTACAGCTTCCAACATACACAAACTACTATAGTCAAAAAACAATACTTATGAAGATGAATCTCTCCCAGGCAGCCTGCACCGACCTTCCACACTTGTCCTCCTGTCCCCTCCCTGCTGACTGCCTCCCTCTTGTTTGGTTTTCCCCGCTGACTTGCCGGCTCTCCACTCCGACAGGGCCTGCTGGAACGACGCCGCGCTCGCCGCCTCGTCATACTCCCCCTGGAGCAGCGCAGAATCCTCCAAGGAACCTCCGGAAGAGGAGGAGGCTCCTACTGGACTTGTTCTTCTCCCTTGGTCTTCCATCTAACATGACATGACATAACATTCAATTGTCATAACATGAGGTTGGGAGTTCGAATCCTGGCTGTTGTCACTCATCCTGTATGCACGCTACTAGAAAGGCTTGCATTCCTTAGGAGAGGACGTTAAGCCATCGTTGACACAATCATCATGATCTCAGACAAAGTACTTGCTGAAAAGAGCTAGGGGAATTTCCCTGGTACAAGTTACTACTACAATGGACCAGTCCTGTAAATACTGTACATTGCATCTGCCTTCTCTGTCACAACCAGCAGGAGAGAAGCTCTTCAGTGATCTAAACTACATGAAAAAAACTCTTTCTAAAGAATTTCTATTATAGGACAATGAACCTGTAAATGCTGTACGCACACCTCTGTTCCCTGTCACAACAAGTGGAAGAGTCACCGTGGCTCTTCAGTGACCTAAACTATTTGAAAAGAGCTGTACATACATGTAGCATCCAATTTCTCTGTCACAACCAGTGGAAGAGCGGCTCTACAGTGAGCGAAACTTTTTTTTTCACAGTTCGTACGTGTTTCTTTAGTATGGACGGCATCAGACAGAAGGAACATGATTCGGGGGAATTTAAATTGGCACTTAATTTCCTGTGAAGTGATCCAAGGTGAGAAGGCCGGTCCGTGCCCTGACCTTATCACACACGGCAGCCTTCCTCTGACAACTGTGATTTCCCAGGGATAGACTCAGGGGTGAGGACCATGACCAGGCTGCTACAGGGGTTTCCTCAGAACCTGAATATTTTTCCTGTCATCTCAGCATAACCTATGCTTACCACAATGTGTCACAGCACTGTGAAGCTGGTGTGTTTCGCTGAGGGGCGGTTATACCGGCTGAAACCAGTTCTAGCCAGCAATCGTCTTTCCTTCATTTGACGAAATTTTGCTGCTCATGACAGACGAAATTTTGTCCAATCTCTCATCTTTAACGGACAAAAATTGACATGTAAAGATATGGAAAGAGATGTTATTAAACTATGCTTAGTCTACCAGCAAAATCTGTCCCTCAAAATGCAGGAAATAGCATTTCAGAGGTTCATGATTTCAACATTTGCCAGGGGAAAATGCCTCCAGACCCCCCTCTTCAGCACTTATATGTAACATGCATGATCGAAAAAATTGAGAGGTAAAAAAAATTTGCTGACTGATGCATCAATTCAGACTGTCAAGATGACAAATTACATCTTTGCCGATCATTTAAGCCTGAAGTCAAACTGTCAAATAGCAGACTGATGAATATTGGGAAAAATTTGAGCTAGACAAAGAAAGCAACAAGACTCCAAACAAAAGTATACTTATTGTCAGATCTAATCATGTTTTTTTTTAATTATTAATAACCCCTGCAGTATCAGTGGCAACAGACGAGATAAGTAGCCTAGATTGGTGCACTAATCCTTTAGCATTTAAAACAAAAGGGAAATCAAACAATGAAAAAACTAATTTGAACTGCCAGATTGAAAAATGGAGGAAGATAATCCAATTAAGTACTGTCACACATGCTTCTAAATTTATGTTCATCCCATTGATGTTGTTAATTTCATAACACAAAGGCTTAACTTTTTATATATGAGAACTCAAAATACCACCTGCAGCCTATACATGTAGTTTGCAGGAAATTTTCCAGATTGTAGGAAAAATGTGTACATGTACAATTGAGCAACTAGGAGTCTTAAAGGCATCCAATGCAGTTTTTAGGGCTTGGAAACCCAATTTTTCAAAGCCAATATTCTATAAGTCATTTATCTAATTAGTATATACTGAGTTAAAATTACACTAACCCAATGTATTGACCCTCGTGGAGCAAAAATACTTAAAATTCTGATGGAAAATGGTTACTGGAAGAGCCCTTGGCTTATTTTTATGGTACCACCCATAAAATAAAGGACTCATCTTGGGGCTTGTTTTTACAGTATTAAATACATGATGACTTTTGTATGAAATACTGATTGAAATGGGCTAATGTGAAGCAGTGTGTGTCAATATCGAAAAGATTGCCTCATTTAGAATATTTCCAGTTTTGCTGCTCTGAAATTGCATTGGATGCCTTTAAATTTACAAAGAAATATTCAGAGTACATACTACTATGACTCAAGTATCACCTGAAGCAGAAAAATGGAATTTCAAGCCCTGCGGAAGCTGGGATTGTGAAGATCCTATATCATTTCATACTCACTTCTTTACTCTCCACCTTCTTCTGTTTCCCCAGCTTGCTTAAAGACGGTGTCCTGTGTAGATAAGACACACACACATGTAGACGGCATTGAAAGACAGATGAGTAGGATCATCACACATAAGAACATCCAACACATGTGCTGAATGATGCTTCAAGGTAGCGCAGCTTACAAATGACACAGAAAACTCTTTGTGGCAAACCTACACGTGGTAGCACAAGATAAGGGAACAGACTTAGCAGCTTGCTGCTTTCACTAAAATGTAATGCTTTATCATCGATTCGGTAAATTATAACTTGAGGTTGAACAGCACTGTCTTAAATTACATACATTGTAGTATGGACTTATCCAAACTTCATACATAACTTACAGTCATTTTTTTTTTCTTTCAGCCACATAACACCTAATTTATTGTTTTTCAGCTTTGTCACTACATTTTCCCTTCTGGATTCACACAAAAAAACACAGATTTAAGTCAGGATGAGAATTGTGGCTCCAACAGCTGAAGAAATTCCTTGTCCTCCTAGCTACAATGTAGATGTTACAGTTTTTCTACTTCTCAATGCATTAAAATTACAATACTTTAATATATGATGTAAAAATGCTACATACATCTTTCTGGCACTCTGAGACCCTGACGATGGACTGCTTCCCTCCTGGATGAGGAAAAAAAAGGGAATAAAAAATTAAACACAAGTTACTGTAGATGAAGACGTACACCATTATGTGCAAAATGCTACTAATAAAGGGAACAAACAGTAAAAGAAGTTCAGGGGACAACATCTTGGAATTGTATATGGAAGTAAAAAGAGGTGAAGCTAAACTCATGGCCTTTTTGAGACCATAAGGGCAGTGGGTTGTTGAACCACACATGTGTCTAGCTGTATAGGGCATAGTATTTGAGGGCAGAGCCCATCTACTTCCACCACTTTTTACCTCCCTAGCCAGGAATACAAGGATTCAAACTCATGACCACTCAATATCTGCTTACCTAGCCACTCAGCCAATCACCACCACACATATGTGAGCACTAGGCCCAAAACACACTATTCTTACCTTATAGGGGATGGCATTGTGACTGCGCAGCGCCCCCTTCATGTGGAACTGAGCAAAGCAGGCTGTGCAGTAGACCTCCCCACAGTCCTCACATAACTGTGGACGATACAGTACAACATCCTGTCAGCATTCACAAACTCAACACATTTATGTGTGACCTTCACGGCATGTACCGTTAGTATAGCTGTATAAGTCACGATTCTGCATTAAGCTATTCTGTCAGCCGGTTATTTCATTTTAGCGTAAGAAATGAAATTCTACGATGTAATAGAACGTGACAACTGCGTTTGCATCCTGAATTTCTTGGTGTCCTCTATCCACACATAGAAACAGGTCTGTCCTTGGTGCTGAACACCATCCACACATAGTAACAGGCCTGTCCTTGGTGCTGAACACCATCCATAAATGGAAACAGGTCTGTCCTTGGTGCTGAACACCATCCACACATAGAAACAGGTCTCTCCTTGGTGCTGAACACTATTCACACATAGAAACAGGCCTGTCCTTACTGCTGAACACTATCCACACATAGAAACTGGTCTATCCTTGGTGCTGAACACCATCCACACATAGAAACAAGTCTGTCCTTGGTGCTGAACACCATCCATACATGGCAACAGGTCTGTCCTTGGTGCTGAACACCATCCACACATAGAAACAGGTCTGTCCTTGGTGCTGAACACTATTCACACATAGAAACAGGTCTGTCCTTGGTGCTGAATACTAACCACACATAGAATCAGGCCTGTCCTTGGTGCTGAACACCATCCACACATAGAAACAGGTCTGTCCTTGGTGCTGAACACCATCCACACATAGAAACAGGCCTGTCCTTGGTGCTGAACACTATCCACACATAGAAACAGGCCTGTCGTTGGTGCTGAACAATATCCACACATAGAATCAGGCTATTAAACCTGTACGTTATCAAGCAAATTTGAGTAAAAGTATGTTAAGGTCATATCGTCATTATGACATATTAACGCTTGCACATATATATACGTACCAGGTAAAACAAAAAAGGGCTGTTATCATAAATACAAATGGTACATTTAAAAGATAATGCAGAAGAATGTAGTAAGTAGAAAATCATGGCCAAGCCATATTACTGTTACAGACAATCACTGTGCAATAACAACATCAGGCATCTTATTACAAGTCTATGCACATGTCTCTTGGAGGAAACCGTGAAATACTCAGAGCAGACTGTATCAACTCTATCTATTTGAATGCTTGAACAAATGCATGAATATTCAGGGCTTGAAATACTGGGTGCATGTGCACCTTAGTACACCCAAAATTGGAGCTGTGCACCCAATTTTTTTCTGTGGTTGCACTGGTACACCCAAATATTTTTGTAGGTATTTTTGTACATAATGATAATAGTATGCAGGATATTCTTGGCATCTGAGCATCAGAAAAATAATAAAATCTTTGTTGTAGTAAGATTTTTAAGTTAGCTCCCATTTCAGATTCAAGCTCAGAAGAGGAGCAGTAAGATCTGTAATTAGGTTTTGTTTTATATGGTGCATCTAATTTTTTAGGTTGGGTGCACCAGTGCACCTATTCCAAAAAATGAATTTCGAGCCCTGATATCTGAATAGCCCAAGACCTTGAACGCCAGTATAATTGTCTCTTAAGATCAATTTTCGATGGTAAGCCTCAACACTGGAGTCCTCTGGGACATGACCCACCATTACGGATCAGTACAGGATAATTAGGTACAAGTAAAACACTACAATCTTTCTCAATCTATGTACTAATAATCTGGGATATGATAAGTTCGCTACTTCTCTTTATTTCAATGCCCTTTAACTCAAATGGCTTAGATCTTCCAGGGTTCGTAAAAAAATTAAAACACATATAAAATGGTAAATAACACACATGGCACAAATTTAAAATAATTTAAGGATAATAAGTTTCCCCTAGTCATATTAATCTGGTCATTACAAAGCTATGTTAGAGGCTATCATAATGATATAAGTTAAAATTATGTTTCACATATGCTGGTAATGCACTGTCAAAAATGCCTTTTCTTGTTTTTTGATTTTCAGTACACACTGCCACTGAGAATATATATCTCTTTGCAAATGGTGCTGAACAGTAACCACACATAGAAACAGGCCTGTCCTTGGTGCTGAACACCATCTACACATAAAACAGGCCTGTCCTTGGTGCTTAACACTATCCATACATAGAAATAGACCTGTCCTTGGTGCTGAACACTATCCATACATAGAAACGGGCCTGTATTTGGTGCTGAACACCACCCACACATAAAACAGGTCTGTCCTTGGTGCTGAACACCATCCATACATAGAAACAGGCCTGTCCCTGGTGCTGAAATCTTTTACAAGAATTTTAATCTAGAAATAAATTAAAATAAGTTAAAATTTTTTAATAATATAGATAAAATTTTTCATTGAGAAATATATAAGATTATATTTAAAGTGAAAATTGATAAATATATATTTTAGACTAAACTCTTTTATTCCTGAATTTTCCTTAAAAAATCTGAGGTAACTTTCAGACAGTTCAATCTCCATGTGAGATTTCCTTTTCATGTGTATAAATGTGACCTGGGAATATTCAACATGCTCCATGATAGATTTCCTCGGGATGCAATTCTTTTTCCATGCTACACTGTACATGCTACATGGAACATTCAGCATATCACATATACAAAGCCAGCAAAGATGCATGAACCATTCAATTTACCTCTTGGCCCTCGAGTTTCTGTTTTTCAGCTCAAAGCGCTCGCTTGAAACCACTCTTGAACCCCCTTGGGTCAAAGGAGCCGGTAAAATATGATCAAAATTCAGCGAGGCCCAGAGAGCCAACACCCCGAATCATTACTTGTGATAAGTAATTTACAGACAGACCCACTCTGAAGTCAGAGTCATTGGCCTTAGAGCTGATGACATGCATAGTAACACAAGTTAACTCTCATGCAGGGCTCGATATACCACCTGCAGGTTAATCCAGGTAAAATTGAGGCTGTGGAAGTACTGCTGATGTCTGTATACCTGCACCTAACCTGCACTGGGCCATGACAACAACAAAAACAGCCCCAGACACTAGACATAAGATCAGCATGCTCAAAGATGCTGTGTATTGTGTTTAATACCAAATTAGCATCAATGAAGACAGCGACAGAGAAATTAGTAAAATTAAAAATTGTTACTATAACAAAATGTAGAAACATTTTTTTCTGATCAGTCAATTTCAAATGAACTGAAAGGCAAAGAAACAATAATTATTACAGTAATGGTACTATAACAAAATGTAAAAACATTTTTTTCTGAAAGGCAAAGAAACAATACAGTAGTGCAGGTAAAACTTGTCTGGTGCAAGTAATTTTGAATGTTGCCTACACTAGGTACAGGTATGCAGAAAAAGCATTTCGAGCCCTCCTCATGCCATGCATGTGCAATACACAGGCAAGGTTACCGTAATACTTTGTGCACCAACCTTGTATCATCCAAGATGTATAAATTCCAATTTATCAAAGATAAGACCCTACATTGAGAGTTGAGTCAGTGCGATGTTTGAAGACACCTGTGTGTCATAACATAACGATGATTAAGGCCAGACCAATTTAATTTGTTGGTTCTCAGATTTTTTCAGAAAAAATATGAAGCGACAGGGCGAAAAAAAATAAAAATAAAAACAGGTCTAGGCATCCTATTATAGGCTTAAACGCTACAAAATGAGCCATGAAGTCAACACAAAAGGCTGGGTTAAAATTTAAACATTGAATTTTGAACTTTTAATCAAACCACTGCAATGATAGATGGGAAAACTGTAACAACTAGGAAGAAAAGGACTTTCCTCAACTGTCGGGGGGGCAAAACATGAGCATTTTTCAGTTGATTCAGGACCAGAATCAAAATTTTTTTTTTCAAATCAGAAAAAAACGAAGAGGCGAATCCGAGAACCAACAAATTAAATTGGTGTGGCCTAAAATCAAATTTTACTGGTTAATCTGGTCTGGAATTACACACATTTTATGCATTGTACTCATATACATGTATATTCATAGACACTTTATAGACAATGTCAGTGATAAAAGTATCAAACACTGTATAATACTTTTCGACAGATGACTCATCGGGTAATTGCTTCATGTAAAGTTGCATTAGCCTGAAATGTAAATTATTATATTTTATAGGAAGCACAGATTCAATAAATCTGCATCCTTTAGCAGTACTATAATTCTACTTTTATGAGACGTCCACTCTTTGGTTTGGTACTACATTCAATAATCACAGACTATATATAAAATACACATTCTGACATCAACTCTGATAGAATCATATGCTTTATGGCTTAAAATACCCTAAGAGATGACATACAGAAAACAATGGGCTATCAAAGAAGTAAAACAGAACTATTAACTGAACCTCTTCACAAATTGATTTTCATAAAAATCTGATATGATTTTATGCAAAAGATTTTTCTTTGGTATAGCAGTGTTATACACATAAGATTTGTGAACATAGCCAATTCTGTGCATGATACAATTCTGTGCTCCTTGTAAATAATTTTGTGCATATATAGAATTTTTTTCCACGTACAAAATCTCATACCAGACACAATTTTGACCTGTGGCTTCATAAGAAACATGAAGATATTCCATCTATGGCTTAACTATGGACCCAAACTCGACTAAGTCTGCAAAACAATTGCCTACCGAGCACTACACAGGTAACAGATCACATTCCTGACAACTGAACAAATTGTCCTACAAAGCTGACAATCTCCTAGCATGGAAATCAATGTGCGAGAATAGCAGAGTTGTAGGATTACCTGTGTACGATTGCCTCAGTGCTACGGCGTCCTAATAAAAAGGTCGACTGAGGGGCTGGGTAGCTGCAGTGTTATTGCAGTAGGACATACCGACAATGCACTTCACTACATTGAAAGCTAAAAGGCAATTTGCAAGTCTCCGAGCAGCCCAAACCCTGATGTAAGTGGAATACTAAGAAGGTAGGAGGGTACTGAGAGAATACAGATGAAGCGTATAGGTACAGGCATGCATGTACTAGTATATGATCAATACTACAACTCATGGTCACAAGAGGGTTGCAACAAGGTAAACAACATTGAACTTCATGTACTAAATCATGTGTATTGTAGTATATTTTACTCAAGGTTGTTTAGATTAGGCTCCACATGTGTTAAGCCTGATAATTCAGCTTTTCAATCAATATTTTTGACTATCAAACAGGGAATCATCTCACATGTAAGTACTTAAATCTTAGTGGATGGATTTGATAAAGCTGTAGTACTTAAAATATAATAGGCATACTATGCATTTATACTACAATTAAAGTACTGAAGGAATCATTTTATAATTGCAATGTAAATAGTATATGTCATCACTGATAACATTAGCAAAGCAACGTGGCAAGGGGCTTGTATTTAACTAAATCTTGGGAATTATTCTATTAATACTACAGCTACAGAGGTGAAATAAGAATCAGTTATACATGCAAGTTAGATGTAATTCAATAAAAGTATAATTCAATCATTCCATATTCATGATATAGTGCTGGTTTGCTTCTAAAAGAAATTTGGTAAATGACAAAGATCTAAGGACAATTTGCTTAAAGTTAAACATATAATAAAATTTAAAAAAAAACTCAAAATATGCTTAGAATATTAATAGACCCCTTCAGTAACACCATTCACTATGTATGATAAATTATGCAACAATAAAAGTTGGCCTCAACTTACTCACTTGAATTGCATGCCAATGTATTCTAGGTCCACAGTAAACAAAGTATGTGAAGGTGACTTTAGTATGTAGTAACTGTACATCAATATAGACATGAAATAATTTGTGATTCTTATGCACAAGGTTGCCGAAGTCTACCAAGATATATTTGAAAGTACAGCTATAATGACAAATTATGATTAATCCTACGAGGACTAAGCTATAATGACGAATTATGATTAATAAGCAAAATCCAAGATTCATGTAAAACCATGGACTTGTAGACGTGACATGGCAACTTTTTTGCTTCTTTATGGGCACTTGGGTGCCAGTAACATAATCAACCACCATCACACAAACACATGCCGGCCTTAAGCTCTGCTCAACTCTCTGAATGTCAATTTCCCATCCTCCGGGCATTTCAGCTAAGGAACAGTCTCAATGACAGTTGTGATCAACTTTACGACATGCATGATTGTAAAGCGTGGAACAAATTAACTATACGTCAATGCAACTCCAGTTGTCGTTTCTGATAAAATAGAAAATTTAATGTTCTGGTAAATTCTTATGTCAGGACAACTATTGCCAGCATGGATTTATTCTACTGGGGATTGAAATTTGGCTATAGCTACCAAAACATGTAGTATAATGTCATAAAGATTAAATCTAATGCTGCACAAATTTACTTGAATGTAACTTCAAATTACTGGTTTTTAAACTTAAAAAAATTCTTCTGCTTAATTAGCATGAATCTAGGAGAGGAGGAATCTACAAGACTGCAGTAAAATTGGATTTTAAAAAAAATATATTAGGCCACACCAATTTAATTTCTTGGTTAACGGATTTGTCTAGAAAAATAATGGAGCGGGCGGGCGAAAAAAAATAAAAATAAAAACAGGCCTAGGCATCCTATTATGGCCCAAAATGGTACGATAGGAGCCATGAAGTCAACATACCAGGCTGGTTCAAAATGTAAACAATGAATTTTGAACTTTTAATGATACTACTGCATTGAAAGATGGAATGACTGTAACAAGTAGTAAGAAAGGGACTGTTTTCAACTGTTCAGGGCAAAAGTTGAGCATTTTGCAGTTGATTTTGAATTTTTATTTTTATTTGCAAATCAGAAAAAATGAAGCGGCGAATCCGTTAACCAAGAAATTAAATTGGTGTGGCCTTACTTTGCTGTGAATTGCTGTAAGCTGCAAGAAGGTTTTGTAGAAACAAAAAGTAAAATATGACTGCACCATTCTGAATCATTTATTTGAATTGAAGGAAGCCATTTAGGCATGTTGATCAGTGGTGCCAGGTGGCTAACTTTGAGTATTGTGAACTGAGGAGTTCAGGTGTAACACCCAATAGCACTCACTTTTTCCCACTAAATGTTGGCCACTCACATGTACAATCATTATACATTCAAGCAGTCGTATAGATAGAGGCAGATATAGAATGTGCCAGCTTGATTTGCAGAAGATAATAAACTTTTGGCAGAATTCATCTGCATGTATTTTTCTATAAATTAGAATAAATTGTTTCCCCTACAACTAGTACAAGTAAGGTTTACCCCACTCCAGAATTGGTCATTCTGTATTAATTACTGTATAATGGCATTCTGTCTGAAAGAAACAATTTATTCTATTCCTACAATTTACGTATACAAATGTCATGTATGTTGAAATTCTAGAGTAGGAAAAACCATACTATGTACAATTACATAATTATATATTGCCAGTATATAAGAATCATAACATTTCAGGATTTATAAAGAAATAAATTAATGACAATTGTGCAAAAACTAAACCATGTGCCATTATATTACTTTATTCTGTGAAACACATTTATTCGAGTTATTTGCAGTACAGTTACTTGTAAAAGCAGACCTTGGGATAAAGCAGAACTTACTGAAATAAAAGACTTACGGGTTCTTGGTTAAACATAGCATATTGTCATGACTGAATGCATGAAAAAATTTTGCACTTACCAAAACTGCCTTCTTGGCCTCACACTGTCCACACGGTGTGCCCTTGACCCTGGCAGTGGATGTTGTGTTTGCCAGGAGGGACGCAGAGAAGGAAGACCGTACAGAGGTCTTCTGCACCGGCTCTGCGGAGTGCACACACAATACACTCAGGTTATATTATCACCATAAATTGCCCCTTGTATAGTAGAGATAGACTCATATTTTTTAGCCATGTATTAAGTATATTTCCCCACTTTAGTTATTTGACTAGTAAAGAGAAATTTGTATCCCTTTTACCTTTTGATAAACCTACTCTAAGTAATCTCACAGCCGCATATATCCATACAATCACTACTAAGCGAGATGAAGCCGAAAAGAATAGAAATTAGACATTTGTTTACACTCTTATATGTTCATATATTTGTAATGTACATGTTTATGTTCATGTTCTGTACCCATGCGACCTGTACTTAGTTCTGTAGAACACAAATGTACAGTAAAGGTCTTCATTCATTATTCACATCCTCAACCAGGGCTCCAAATACCAACTGTGTATGCAGGTTACCGAAGGTAAAATTGGAGCTGTGAAGGTATTTCTGATGTCTTAACCCATTCATGTACTGGCTTTATATCTACTTTACATGCAGGTGCATGTGTATCAGATTCTATATTGTCATCAAATATGAAGTGTAAATGTTGTGTCTGTCAAACACACATTTCCATTGTCTCTTTTACACCTGTTTTCAGTTGACTTGTTTGTCAGCACCAGAACTTCAGCACCATGGACAGGGGAAGCTGTATTATTGCTGGCTGCAGATAATATAGTAATGGTTTCTAAACAGTTTTTATTGTGATCCACACTTCGTAAATTCTGAGTGTTGCAGGTAAAATTTGTCTGGTACAGGTAACTTTCAAATGTGCAAAAAAAAAAAAGAATTTAGAGCCCTGAAACCACATTATATCCTCAATCCTTAATACTTTCTGGATGGCTACACTACAGAATGCAGATTTTTTACTTCCTTGACATCCTTTAGACACGGACATGTTGATAACATTTGGTTGGCCACGAATACTTCCTCATGCATGTAGTACAGAGGTAGACCTTCACATTCGGTAGCTTTCAAACGAATGTGAATGTTTGAGGTATCAGTATTCCAGCAGGTTGCGATTCCCCTGGTCCATTACGGTGACTCTTATTGTTAAGCATAAATACTACAGGGAATTACACTGAATAGATGAGTAGAAAATGAAAAGTGCAGAACTTTGATCACGTCATAGAAGCATTTACGCAAGAAGAGCCCTGTTATGTTACATGTACGCATATGTACCATGTATATGTGAGTAGAAAGTATAATCAATGTACTAGTCTGGTCAAAGGCTCTCTGTGTTTTTGCCAAGAAATTGAATGAGAAGCAGACTCATAGTTCATCCATATGTAAATTGCTTGAAAGAAAACTTGGCATCCTTCAATACAGGAACTCACTACATCGTACATGTCAATAAGTACCAAGAAACATGTCTGGCTTTCCCTTTGGCACGCATTTTCTAAAAAAAAACGTATGCAAAAATTTACCTTCAAGTTGGAAAAAAGTTCTCACTGGTAGTAGTATGCAATGCCATATAAAAAGAACTTTTCTCCAAGATAAATTCTATTATTGGATTGCATGCTGCCTGGATTGACCTTGACTGTGAAAACATGATACAAAACTTAACGCATGATTTTTCCTTGCCCCTTCCAGGAACCAACTATTATCAAAATATCTCAAGCAGAGAGAGAAGAAAGTGAAGTTTGTATGAAGCTGAATGGATGATTCAGGATGCATGGTCCGTAACTAATACATAGTGGTTACATACCCACAGAGGGGGTGGGAGTAATACATGATGTACATGTATGTCATAAAGAACAGCGAGCCCAGGTCATTGACATTACATGCTGTGGGAAATGCAGTGCAGCTGTGAATCATCATTTTTTAGACAAGCGAGACGTTTCCACTGTTTGGGGTTTGGAAATTTTTTTATTTATTTATTTATTTGATGATATTTATTTATTTATTTATTTAATAGATGCTGGTCTAAATACTTCCAAGGACAGAAAGGCACGATGGCAGGATAGCTGCTGAGAAGTGATTATTACATGGCAAATTGATGATTGGATTAAAAGATTAGGTACAACATTGAGAACAGGCATACAATCATTTTTAACAGGATACAGGCAGCAATCATCGATTCAGCTTTGATTCTCAGAGTCCCCTGCTTGATTTTCTGAGCACAATTACAATGTAGCATTACCCCCAACAGCACAATTTTTTGCTCCATTAACTATCTGTCAAGAGCCAAGGAATTAAATTGGTGTTGCCTTACAATAATAAATTGGGCAGTAAAAAATGTTAGACTGAAAATAATAATGTTGACTCCTTGAATATTAAATGACAGTCCCTGTAGCTGTGAAAAAAATTATTTTGCCTTCACCGGAACTTGGCTGCTTGAATCCGTCAAAACTTAAAGCTGCACCTTTTTCAAAAGTACTAATAGTAATACTTCACTCTGTGTGCATATCCGCCATTCATCATAGCAGTGCCCTTACCAACACAGTCATTATAAATAGGCTATTCCTCTTTATCTGGAGCCAGCCATATGGCAGCAGGAGAGATGAAGCCTGGCAGGGGGTGTTAAAGTCAATGTCTACAGACTCAAGTGCCCCCAAGTCCTCTTTTAAGGACATTCACTCTGAGCTTGACTTTCAGGCATTCTGCGCAATGTCACTGCATATACGGGACATGTTAAATCTCTTCTGACATATATAAATAGTCTTATAAAGTACAACGGTGCAACCATGCAGAGAAAATGCATGTAAAATACAGGCTGTTATCATTCTAGATGTATGTATTCATCTAGGAGGCAGAAGAAAGTCCTTGGATTTGAGTTACATTTTATGTCTACAGTGATTTAAGAGCATTTCAATGAAATGCCATTTTCAACCTTGTCCGATGCTTCCTGAATATTCTATTACAGCGTGTGTGTGGGGAGGGGGAGGGACATGTAGTGGGCGTTCTATATGCTTCTAGAGGACATTCATCTTAGTTAAATTGCACTGTAATTTTCCGTGGGAAATATGCCATCCTTGTCAGCACTTATCAACATCGAAACAGCGCCACCTTCTACAATAATTAAGTCTCAAAGAGCTGAATACTTCAAGAATAATGATTTTTTATGAACAACGTCGGTTACGATATCAAGAACTTTTCATATGCCATTAATACTAATACCCAAGGGTTGCTGTTATTTATTCCAATGTCAGCATCATTTTACAATGTTCCCAATAAGCATTATATTTACCTCATTTTTTTACACCTTGGCAAGGGGACGAGTTGAGAATATATAACAGTGTTCGAAATACCTGTCTGCAGTCTGCAATCTGCAGATAGATTTTCAAGATTGCAGAAGAAAAATCTATACAATCTGCAATTTTGCAGCAGGAAAAATTGGCACTTGGGATTTGACGCTTTTGGCGCTAAGGACAGACAACACTCAAGCTCCTGTTCTGAAACAACAGGAGCTTCTTCACTAATTTGCATCAACCTTGTCTTGACTTGTTATGGGTTCACCACACCACAAAGTGGTGTGGTGAAACCATATTGCTTTTTCTGATGTTTCTTCTCCTCCTCCTTCTCCTCCTCCTCCTGCCATATCTTTAAATGGATTCAGCTTCTTCATTTTAGGGCCTAAGGTCCTGAAATTTGGTATGGAGGTACAGTGGGCAAATACCCCTAGGCGTTTTTTAAATTTTTGTGATACAGGCTTTTAGAATGGTTTTATTTGAGTTTTTTGGCTGTATTATAGCTAATGTATTACTGTGTTAGTGTGCCATGTTTACCACGTCTGGGCATGAGTCATCACAATGGAATGCAGGGCATCAACCAATAGGCATGCAGCTTTCCTCTATACTTCTTGCTGATTGGCTGTTGGAATTTAACTTGATTAACACCTGCACACTGAGCATTTCCACCTGCACAGAGCATTTCTTGCTGATTGGCTGTTGGGATTTAACTTGATTAACACCTGCACAGGAGTATTTCCATTACTGACAGTATGTCTTTATTCAAGTGTTTTGGTAGGTATTTCAAGCTTTTCTGCTCCAGCATTGGAATGCGGGGCATGAACGTTTTTTTTTTATTTTGAAAATCAACAGTTTGCATTATGCAATTAAAAATCCTAACCAATAAAGTAGGGAATAGCTATCCAACTGTTGTTTTAGTTGTATGTTACTTCATATTATAGTTATATCAATGTAAATCATTGTTTTCCCTTGTGTTTCTCATTCTTTCCCTGCCATGTGGTAAAATGTGGTGAACCCATCGCTGTATTTGCTCCAAAGCAAATATTGGCCTTTCTAGTTTATCTTTTGTTTCTTTTTGGACTTCCAAAAATTTGTCTTCACTAATTTGCATATGAATCAATAGTTCATGCTTATAAACCTGCAAGATTGTAGTATGGAGGCTTGTGTATTTGCAGAAAGTATTTCCAAATTGCAGAACAAAATTTTTACTCTTCTGCAATATTGCAGAGCGCTGAAAAAAAGTATTTCAACCACTGTATAACATACATGTAGATTGTCAGTTACTTTATATAGTATTACCCTTTCATTTTAACATGGGCCTCACCAACAGGTTGTAGCAATATCATTCCAAGGTGGTTTGTTAATAAGTACAGACTATGAAATATTAGCCTTTCCACAAATGAGGTTTCTACCTACCTATTGGTTCATCCTTTAGCACTTTTATCTTCCGTGGTTTCTGTAACAAAATTAAGACAAAGTTTCTTCGTTATTTCAACAGTTATTTTTTGTATAATTGACTAAATATGGATAACCAAAAGAAAGGGCACAACAATAACAAAGATTTACAATAGATGATTTCTAAATTTTTTATATCTATAAACATGACTGCTATGAATATTCCTTTCCTGCCTACAATTAGTATATGATATCATACAAAAACAGTACTCCTTGGACCTAAATGTCAATAAATGTACCATCCCCAAGTAAATACAATCAATTCATGTACATTATCAAGAAAATTTTAAGCTAATTATGGTTCTTGTCAACACTTAACTCTTCTCAATTGAGCCATAAAGAAATACTTTTATGTTAACTGTTATGCTAAATAACAAGGTAAAAATACAAACGTTACACAAACTATTAAAAGGCAAGAATTCATTCACACAAAACACAATATTACAAGTCAATCTTTGAAAGCATTACTTACCCTAAAGCAGCTGAAACAGCTACTCATGTACATGTACATGTAAAGGAATTAAGATGCTGAAGTGCCCAGTGGCATATGGCTAACAACGCACCTTGTCACTTCTCTTCTTAAGCACGTCTTGAGCATGGGTGGTCAGAGATCCTTTCTTCCCAGACTGCCAGATAGTGCCTCCCTGACGCCTACACAACCAAGGCAAGATGATAAGGCTTTCACCACAGGCACATTATCATTTCTGGAATTACACCAGCCTGCTTCTTTGCAAATGGAGTTGATGCTCCTTGAGATGGACACAAAGAGTGACTCTTTTGGGGAGAATAGACTAAACGTGAGCCATGATTTTTCATAAATAATGTGTAATTCTAACACTCTAGCAATTTGACACTTGCTGACGTAATTATCCACGGACAGATCAAGAATTGGGGATCAGATTTCAATAGGTAAAGGATGAAAGGCTGGCGGCATATGGTGCTGTGGAAAACCCCATTCAGTGCACGAGAGACGAGCGGGGAATCACAATGTGGCTTTTAGCAATGTGGGCAACGTGCGGGGCTCTGCGTAATCCTGGGCTTAAGTGCCCCTCATCTTAACGGAGATGAGGCCCCCTCACCACCTACACAGCCCGGGGCTTTACCGTGTGGGGTCAGCCTCAACACCAGATTGTGCACAGCCGTCACAAATAACATGCCTGTCAGTCCCGTATCATGGCCCCACAGTATAGGCATTTTACAGCTTCCTCCTCTTAGAAAACATAAGATTACTAGCCACGGGTAAACGACTTCACATGGCGATGGAAAATCCTACCAGACCGTTTGTCATCACACGGTTACGCTGGGAGAGTGACGTTTACGGTCCCATGATAACGGTCTTTACACTTTCCCCAATCCTTAGTGTGTGCATACGGCTATACTACAAGCCTACGTATAGGTATTTACGGTACATGCTGTAGAATAATGACTAAGAGAGGTGCCCACATATGGACAGTGACTTGAATATGCAGTGACTGCCTCTTCCCCATTAACTTTATAGTACGGTGGTTAGTGAGGCAAGTAGTCTAAATGACTAGCTATTATCTCAGCTTTATGAAAGGTTTATAATAGGTCTCATTCAAACATTTCATGATTATGACAAGTCTGGAATACAGATGAGCCAGTATCTTGGCATGATGGGGCCACTATGTCAAGGTTTGACTCATGCATACGTGAAATACTGACATGAATGTTAAAACGACATCTGTATCTGTATCGGTATAGCCGGTATAACCGCCCTTCGGTGTAACACACCAGCTTCACAGGTAGGCGGCACAGTAGCAGCTGGCTACATTACACCGAACGACTTGTTACACTCAATCTTTGCACATTTAATTGCAGGAGTTGTTTAAAGCTTTCTATTGATAATGCCCCAACTGTGCTTGGTGGCAATGAGTTCCACTCTACGATAGTTCTATATATATGTATGTAGAATGTTAACAATCAGTACCATGTACATGTAGCATTCATACAAAATATGCAATAATGTTTAAACCTCAAAAGAAACTAGTTGTATAATGTACATTTTACATTTACTGTGTATATATTTCATTTTATTTTGGACAGCATTAAAAATGGGGTAGCATTTTCCTATTTTGTACTGGGCCAAACCCCAGAAGTCAAATTTTCCTCCCAACCCCGTTTTTAATTTTTTATCTTGTTCTTAAGGTGAAATTTTGCTTTAAACTGTCTGCGTACCATTGGCAAAGAACTGGGTGTGGCCAAAAGAAATCTGGCATGATGACAAATCTCAAATCCTACAACCACCTGTTAGATTGGCTGTCATTGGTCCAGCTGACTACAGCATACTTAAAGTTGGTAGCTGCTTTGTTATTGGTCCTTCAGAACCTGACTAAATATATTAGCAACTGTAATGTTAACTTTTTAATATTGAACTGTTAAAAAAAATGATCTAACGTTATATGGATTTATCACAAACCTAAATTCCAACACTCATAACCCTTTTAATCTGATTCAATTAGAGACATGTGTAACACTGTAAGTTGTATGTAAATCAGCCCATGGCTACAAGGTGCCAACTGAAAACCAATCATTCATTCAATCATGTTGACTTACTCTCTCTCCTCTTTCTCCATGCGCATGGCTGCCTTCAGCTGGTGTAGTCTTGCCTCCATCTGTTGGTTATCTACCTCCAACTGAAGGTTCTGAGCTCGAACCTCCTTCACATCCCTGTAGACGCACAGAAAACAGCAAGTTTTTTTTTTCAATGCCCACGATCATGATAATGATCATATGCTCATTAATACCTGAGCGAAGTGAGGAAAGTCGTGTAAAGTGCGTTTCCCAAGGGCAAAAGGTTGGTGACATGGCTGGAATCGAACCTGGGACCTCTTGGTTCTGAGCCGAATGCTCTGCCGTTACGCCACACAACCCCACAAAGTCAGTGCACGTGGTTGATTGTCATTTCGGCTTCAATGATACATTGTAATTAATGATGCTGCTTGTTTATAGAGAAACTATTCACAGGCAATCAGGGTCTGAGCAATGGCAAGTGCCCCCTGGTGGAACATATCAGAACTGCAATGTCAAAACACACACACAGAATACTAGTACAGTACTAGTAATAGCCAAAGACAAGTTTCAACTCACATTAAAACTAAATACATACATAACCTTTCCTTCATTTGTTCGAATCTATAATCATACCATGCCATGCAACATTTCCACCTCACTTTCTGATACTCTACTGGATTCAAATAACTATGGAGCAATTTACAGACACACTGAAAACATAATAACTTCCCTATATACACACAAACACACACACATTGTCATTACATATTACTTTGTTATGACATATCAGTATACACTAGTAGTAGTAAATTAGCTCCATATGATGTGCAGGGCAAAGTTTGTACATAGAAGCACTTCAAGAAAATACATTTTGAACATTGAAACATCATGAGTACTAGTAGTTAATCCTTACTTGCGATGTAATCTCATCGACGCTGGTTCTTTACTGGAAGGGGTAAAACTAAAGCCCGGCGCTCCACTGTACATGGTTGATGTGTCAACTGTCAACACACCTGTAAATTCAAACGACAAAAAAAAATTGGTCCATTTTATTACAGCTGCATTATAGATCATAAAACCTTTTCAAATGTTCATACTACATCATCTAAAATCAAACATAAGTTACATTTATGCAAATCAGTACTGTTCTCATCTCGTGACCAATATTGTGATGTACGTAACCACTACACGTATAACGTTATATATTATGATGAATGGTAACCAAGCAAATATTTCAGAGTAAAAACGTGTTAACATCTGTCAGCTCTTTACTATTGTAACTCATAACGTTTCGTACATCAAGAAAATTCATTTTACAGTTAGACAATTGTATCATCTTACATACAAGTGCATACATATTGATTAATTGATTGTTGTTTTGTAACTATGTGAATCACGATCTATTTTAGAAATGGCACAAGCATACATATTTCCTGTTGTAACTTATATCATTTCGTACATCGAAAAAAATTCATTTTACAGTTAGATAATAGTATCATCTTATATTTTACAAGTGCATGCAATGATTGATTATTGTTTTGTAACTACGGTATGTAAATCACTGTTGTAGAAACGGCACACAAGCATGTGGGCATTAAATAGTTAACCAGTCGAATACTGAAAAATTTATGCTGACTAAGGAACTCTCAAATTAAAATGCTGAATCCTTAAACTGTAAACAGATAAATATAACAGTTCATAAATATGAAAGGAACAGGTGGGCTTGTCCCGTATCCTGGTTACCCATTGATAATATCGCCACTTGTACGCATACAGTCCATCCTACGCTACCTAGATTATCACTTACCTTATTCAAGAACGTTTTACACGAGTTCAGCCTGCTATGAACGGGGAAAGAAGTTCAAATTCCCTCCAAGGACGTTGACGCCGTGACCATAGCAAACAAGCCGCAAAAATGGAAACTGAAAAAATGGCGGAAACCCACGTGGGTTCTCGCGAGATTAGGCGAGATCTCCAATTACAGGTGGTATCCAAGCAGATGTGGGGTGGAGTATTGTAACATTATCTATCTACCGGGTAGCACCTATACCAAGCGCTCTGCGTGTAAATGCTGTAGGAAAATCGTAGTTTTCAGGCAAGCTAGACAGTCATATAAAGTGCAATGACTTTTTTGATGGCACTGGTTAAATTATCCTACGTGACGTCACGTAATCGCTGCCACGCCTCCTGATAGTGTGCCACTTGCGTAAAATGACCTGATAATAAAAACCACCCTCCCGAGCAGGGTGAGTGACGCCGCCCAAAAGGGCTCCCGTTTTGGGCGGCGTCACTGACCCTGCTCAGGAGGGTGATAAAAACACAAGCAGCGGCTCATAAAACAAACGTTTCTAGCTCTCAGGTCAAACAGTTTTAAGCTGTAAAGTTTACGGGGACGCCTCTCCGTGGATAAATATGCCTCTGTTATATTACGTCAAATTACATGTAGGGTGTAGACCCTTAATTGTACTAAAATAACTAAGTAAGCTTTGATTGTAATAATTTTACATAGGCTGAGTGATACTACATTTGCTGTTTGATATTGCATATGGTGCATTACTTATCTTTATAACTTGTAAGAGAGAGAAAGATTCAATTTGGAAATGGATTCTTGTAAGATGATTACCTTTCAACTCACACAATCTATATCTTTATGAATTTAGCATGAATTATGAATTATTTCTTTATGAATTATTCAACTACATTCTATGATGTGATTTTATGTAGATCTTAACTCTAATGGATATTTTGTAGAGTCCTATAAATACATTCTAGCGCGTATTTCCCTTTAGCTGCACCGAGACCGTTCATTTCGAAATTGTGCGTTTCAAATTATTGGTTTCATTACCAACCAAAAATGACACCTCGTACATGAATAGCTTTAAGCATTTTATTTCGAGACGTGTTTGTAATCACCTTGCATTTACCATGCCGATGTCAGGCAAATTCATTCAATACTTTGGCACATATACTTTACACTGCATGTGTGGTATTGCTAAACCACGTATGTATTTTCATATTTGAAGCCTTAAGGTGTTTGGAACTTATCATATCTTTGTTGAAAACTATCCTATGACTTAACAATGATTGCATGTATCTTTTTTAACGAATTTTGGCGTCCTTTCATTTTGCCTTACATGTATGTGGGGATTCATATGCTCGTACGCAGTATGGACATTTGAGTTAAAATTGATAAGAAATGTATTAGATATCGACACATGTTTAAACTCTTTTACAAAATCATTACAATTGACTGCCCACGTAAGATTATTCTCTCATTAGCCTTCGATGTGCAAACGTATGGGAAAACACGTGTTGTATGCCTAGGCTTGGTACCTTGTTCCCTTGGGTTTCGGCACTGAAATGATAATGACAGGCATTTATTCTTATTTGAAAAAAATCAAGTAAAAAATTAACATTACTAGTCTGTACCTCTTTCTCCAGAAATTTCTTTCGTGGTTGTGGGGCTTTAGAGAGTAGCTATCCGCTGCAAGTCTAATGTAGGCATTTTCAACATCCTGAGGCTGCACGTTTTCAAAATAATAAACATGACTATTTCAGACAAGGTATGTCCATGCCTGTGATTTTCTTTAAGGTCACTAACTTTAAATCTAAACTCACTGCAAGCAAGGCAACAAATCTTAAGAGCAGGATACGAGAAACACCTTATGACAAATGTCAATTCTAGTGAGATGCTACTTTAGCAGGATCTAATGCTCTCGAATAGAAGGACCACAGCGCTAAACACTGGTCAAAAACTCAACATTAGACATGTATCTATCCTCCACAACGTCGTCTGTGCCGTGCTTCTCCATGTAACACTGCCTGGCTGCTTCTCTCAGCTCTGCTGCTAACATCTTCCCGGACTGGTCCACCATAGCTGTGAAAACACCATCTCTGTCCTGCAGCAGGGCATGAGCCTCTCCCATCTCCTGTACCCGGCCCTCCTGTAGTACCTGGTACAGTAAAAAACGGATCACATGTGAGCCGGCGAAACCTCAGCCTTTACCACCTCTGACAATGCATTGTGTTTTGCAATATTATACACACATCTCCTCAAAAAGAAGTACTACTCACCATGATCCTATCAGAGTCGATGACAGAATTGAGTCTGTGGGCTATTGTTAACACTGTGCAGTTCTTGAACTTCTCTCGAATGGTCTCCTGAATAAGCTGGTCCGTTCTGTGTAGGTAAGAAAGAGGTCAATGAGTGTACCTGTACATTCCTTCCAATTACATGACAATATATAAAATCGAAACCTAGCAAACAATCAAAGAAGTGTCGACAGGCATGTTGTCATACCTCGGGTCTACATTTGCTGTTGCTTCATCGATGATGAGAATCCTGTTTTTCCTGAGCAGGGCCCTGGCTAGACAGACCAGCTGCCTTTGGCCCACACTGAAGTTGGTCCCAGATTCAGCCATCTCAGATTCAAGCTTTCCTTGCAAATCGTTCACTGCCTGTTTGAGCTGGACCTACATATATATATATATAAAATGACGCATACATAATTGAATGACTAAAGTACAAGAAGGGCAAACGTAAACAATTCACCTTGTAATAATGTATCTTTTAAATGCGTCAGAACAGAGGAGAAACATGTTATATTTTTATACTGTAAAATTCACCGTGTAAAATTAGTATTCTTTCTCACCTCCTCTAAGGCACTCCAAAGTTGCTGGTCTGTAAAGTCGTTGAAGGGATCCAAGTTCCTCCTGAGGGAACCAGAAAACAGGACAGGGTCCTGGGGAATGACGGAGATTTTCTTCCTCAAGTCGTGGAGTCCGATCTTGGTGACATCCACCCCGTCAATCCTGACTGTTCCTTGTGGCTCCGCCATCCTGAACAACATCTGCATCAGGGAGCTCTTCCCCGCACCCGTCCGACCTACTATGCCAATCTGAAAGTCATTAAAAATTAGACCAAAGGTCCTTTGCATTGTGTATACTTGCATCATTATATATACAAGGATAAATGTATTCTTTTAAAAGATCAAGCCTAGAATTGTATATTGTTCATACGTTTGCTACATTGTAAGTACATTATGATTGATTGCAATATTTTAGAACATTTGAGCTTTCTTGCTCGTTACCTTTTCCTGTCTCCGAGTCCTGAAACACAGGTTCTTGAGAATGTCAGGTCCATCTTCAGAATATGAGAAGGACGCAGCCTCTAACTCGATCCTCCCGTGCTGAGGCCAGTCTCTGGGAGGTTTTGTACTGGTCTCCAGTGGAGCTTCAGGCCCCAGTTTGGTGTACGTGACCACTCTTTCTGCTGATGTCATCTGGTAAATATGATCCAGAAAAAGAAGATTGTGTCAGGTTTCGTCGTATTGACATTTGCCCAGGTCTCTTTGATCAGCCAAAAAACTTAACTGATTAATTGCATTGGTACCATATACTCCTTTTAAACTAGCTTTCACGTGCACATTGCAGTTGCATCACAATGAGCACCCACGTATAGATCAGACGGCAGACAATCTTTTCCTACCAAATTCTCCACCACTGCACTCTGACGAACAGCCCACTGAAACCGGCCTGTCAGGATGATGGCATACGTCACCGATAGGCCTACCAGACCGCCAGCTAGACCTAAGAAGAAATCATGATATATTTTACTTCTGTTAGACTGATGCCCGTATGTTATTCAATGGATCATTGATGCTCTAGAAATTGTCACACGTCTTTTATCAATAAAGCTGCATAATATCACCTCTTGCAATAACATCCTAAACACTAGCGCGGTAGGACCTACGTTTTTATGTGTAGGCTTAGTCTTGGGGACCAATAAGAATCACTCTCTTTTCCTTATGGCCCTACTAAACGCCTGTAAATGGCGTTTAAGAGCATTTACAACATTATATAAGTATCTAACCCCTGGTGTATGCTATATGGTATATCATATATGACTAAAACAAAATACGAACAAACCTTCAGACGCAAGGACACTGCAGAAGGCCACAGCAGTGACAAACAACGCTGCCAAAAAGTCTAGTCTGACAGATACCCATCGGGCACAGGCAAGATACAGGAACCAGGCTTCGGAGTGCAGGTCCTGGTGAGCATCAAACTCCTGCTTGAAACTCTCTTGAGCACCGAAGGCTCGGATGGTCCACAGGCCTTGCAGGGTGGCGGACAGGTGTGAGAACACTGGGCTACGGGCTAGAGGAAGAGGAAGAGTGAAGCATTTCCGTACATATCTACATATGTTTCTGTCATCTGCCTGTGCAAATTTCTAATTGTCCAAATTGTCTTTCATTCGGCCATCGCTTTCACTTCACTGCACAAAACCTAAAAGACATTGAGCCCAGCACCATGGGAAATGCTATTCACGAGGAAATACGATGAGAGACTTTGGGGATGGATCTAACAACTAAACAAATCAAAGTGTTAACACTTCAACACAAATCAAGTTTTCTGCATGAATATTAGTGGGAAAACCTACTGGTTCCCTCCAGCCGTTTGATGTCCCTGGATGTGCTCAGGTAATACTTCCGGATGTAGAGGAAAAAGAGCAATAGAGGTAGGGTCGGGATGAACACCCAGGGGTTGATGATACCAACCAGAATTATGGTTCCGACTATCGATAGACCACTCTGGAAGAAAAAAAAAAAGAAATTTTGCAAAACCATTCCTACTCTTGCTTTAATACTGAGAGGTATGAAACTACATATGGCACATGTCAATGGTAACTGTTATATCAAACAAAACAAAATGAAAAATTGTAACCTTTGTAAAATCAGTGAAAGTCCATGGAAACATTTCATCCAGCATCCCAACGTCCTTGGTGAACCGATTCAGGACTCGTCCTGGTAGAGCAAAAATATTTGTAATGTGTAGAAAACTAATTGTGTCTTTGACACAGAATACACTTGTATCATTGATGAAATATGCAGGTATTTTCTATAAACTCACCGACAGGGTTTGTGTCAAAGAACCGGATTGGAGCCCTGATGATTGCGTTGAACATGTCGTTATGGAGGTTTTTGGAAGACTGTATTGTGAGGAAGAAAAGTTGCCAAGTGACGACCAAGCCCAACACCAGGGTTCCTGCAGTGAAGGCGGTTAAAATGTAGACGTAGAAGAGTGTGTCGGGAGGGGCCACTGGGAAGACTGTGCTGCTGTTTGTTACAAGCATGTTTCCAAGAGCTGATAGACTAGAACCATTCGAGAATGTTGTATTGTCGCCATCGGTAGTGTTGATCCAGTTGTGCTTTGCAACAATATGTTGCTCTTCTTTCCGTGCCCTGTGGTATCAACAAAAAGAAATATCTATCACGATATTTTCCATCCTTTTCTTTTAATGTTCAAGTTGCATATGTAGTATATTGTGATTGTATGGTGTCCGTATTTCTTTTCCTGTATGTCCGAAATCTGATAGACAAAAGACCTCCAATAGTTGCAGTGAGATCAAAGATACCGAAGGGGGTATGGAACACATATGTCAAAGCTCATGAGTTAAGAATACAACCGGATTTCAGGGGAAATCGGCCTTTGTATTAGTACCTGGGTATTTTTACAGCATACTTACCAATATGCTAGCCACCAGTCGGCCATGATGTAGACCACACGGTAGCCAACGTTCATAACGACGGCGAACAGACATCCCAGGACACCCACACCGGCCTTGAAGTAGTCTCTGTACACATTCCACCCTACAGTTCCAGTCATCCGATCCTCTTCCACTAACAACGGGACAGTCACATCCTGGGCGAAGAGAAGTCTTGTCATTCTCATCGAAATAGATGTCTAGGTATCTTCATGGCTAAAATGGGTCGGTAACAGTAGATGTTTGGTTCTTATTGCTCACTTAACACACCTGAAGACCTCCGCTGTTCATCGGAAGTTCATCACTAACCACTACTTTAAAGCCGAGCTATAGGTTAATGGAAGGTAGAATATAGTAGAGGGGATTCATTCCTCAAGCTACCGACATCTTGCACACGCAGTCGTCCCTCAGTAAGACATCTGGAGCCGCATAGTTCCCGTTTAGAACTTTTATTTTATTCCTGTTAATGGAAGGTAGAGTTTTGTTTAATAATGCTTCCACACATACCTCTTTGTCGTCTTCTACGTGTAAGGAATCGTCACTGTCTGATAAGGTCTGAGAAAGACGTTGTCCGGAGGATGAACCCCTGTCATTTGGAATGTCCATCTTTTCTCCGTCCTCTTCCTTGTCTTTCTCAGTTCCCAGCATCTTGGCAAAGTCAATACCAGATCGCAAAAGTTCACTGTACGTGCCAGTAGCTACCTGTTCTCCCTGAAATGGACAGTATGGTTTGGAGGTACTTCAGGATACATATATATTGAATTCGTGTCGCAAATAAAACTTCATTGGCTAAAGGGGATTCAACGAAGCATTGAGACAATGTACGATTCCTTCGGCTTAGCCGGTATTCTTTGTTAATTGTATTAAGTGTAATATGTTAGCACCTATGACTGTAACATCTACTAGTACTCTGTAACGCTATTTACCTCCAACAGCATCATTATTTGATCAGCCTCCTGTAGATATTGCAGCTGATGCGTCACCAGGATACGAGGCTTGTTCCTCAAAGCACCCTGGATGCACCTGTGTAAAAAATCATACCCTATTATGCTGTCCCATTAACCACAGTAAGATTGACTGTCCATGCCTGAAAATTTGCACTTCCACAAAGACTGTGGGTATGGTATGAGGCAAAACTTTATATATTTGACGTCATTGTGGATCACTTTTTTTTTATTTCAATCAAATGGGCTATTCAGGAACTATAAAGATGTCAGGAGCATAAACACGAACCTATCAAACAGGTGCCTCCCCACATGTGTGTCAACAGCACTCAGGGGGTCGTCCAGCAAGTATACATCAGCATCATGGTAAACAGCTCTGTGCAAAATGCAACAGACAGATGGTTTTATTCTTTCGTAATTATTTATTTTACAGTGAATTATATGCATTGATAGTAATGACATCGCAGGTTATCATCTGAATAATATTTGAATGCTCTTTTTTCATCAAGGTTTTAGGCATTACACGAAACGTGAGCTTATCTACCTGGCCAGGTTGATTCTTGCCTTCTGCCCACCACTCAATGTCACACCTTTGTCTCCAACCAGTGTCATGTCACCATGGGGCAGGAGTTTCAGGTCCTGATAGAACGACAGAGAGGATCCAACTGTACAGTCTATACCAATGACATTGGTAACAAGGTTTTCAAGATCTATTCCTTACAGTTCTTGTTGTTGCCGAGACTAGACCATTATACGTCTATATTTGCAGTACAATATCCTTTAAATTCGCTTAAATTCAATCATACTTGTTCTATACAAACGTAAATTCCTTTTGTGTTTTGTTATTGCGGCATATCACTCTCAATCCTTACAATATCAATCTCATAATCAAATCTAATAATCTGCATACCTTCACCAATGCACATATTTGGATAGTTTTCTCGTAGGCGTGTTCATCATAAGGGCGTCCAAAGAGGATATTCTGCCGTACAGTACCAGAGAACACCCAGGGCTGCTGAGACGCATAGCCGATTTTCCCTCGCACAGTGACTTGCCCCGACAACGCTGGCATCTCTTGAAGCATTGCACTCAATAATGAGGACTGGGGAAAGGATCATGGGAAATAACTTTACTCACACTGTTTAACATCAAGAAACAAAGTAGCCCCTTGGTTATTTTCTTTATTGGTGCAAGCAACATAAGCAAACAATTTGGGGCTATAATAGGTTTGATAACCTGATGAAAATATTCACGGACTTACGTAAAAAGTTCAGCACTGACCTTTCCTGACCCCACAGGCCCAATAACTGCCAAAAGTTGACCTGGTCCAAGCTTCAGGTTGATGTTCTTCAGTGTCAATTGGTCACTGTCCTGAAATAAGGAACAGTTCTTTTTGGATCTTCATACATAAAAAGCAATATCGGATCTTTTAACACCTGAACGATACTGATGATATACTTAGAGCCTTGTTTAGTGGTTATTTGGTTTTCTTACCCCTTCCCACTTAGCCGTGACCTTGTTCAACAGTATGCTACAGCCGGCATCCTGGGGACATGTGACCGAGATACTGCTCTTCCTATTAGTGGTCGTCTCTGGACAATCGACGTCCTCCAGTAACAGGAATTTCTGATGGAAATACATGGAAATATGAATCTACATACTGCACAATAAGTTCTCTTTCAATAGCACGGATCCTTTATCTACTGATGTATTGCAATGAATGTTTATTGAATTGTTGCCTTGACTCTATTGAAAATGCGTTAATGCTATGTATTATGATATAATGCAATGCACAATCATAAGATCATACACATTGAGAAAGACATACCTGTATTCTCTTCATGGAGACTAGAGACTCTGACACATTTGTGATAGCAAACGGGATGAACGTCATGACAGCCAGCTGCAGGATGTTGTACAGGCCGATAGACCTGAAGATGACTCCGGCGGTGAGTTGGTTTCCCGTCAAAGTAAACGTGACGAAAGTAAAGAAGACGATCATACGTATAGAGACGGACGAAAAGGTCATGTTCAATCCATTGCACATCGCTGCTTTGGTAATTACTCGGATCTCAAGCCTAAAGTTTGCATAAAAAATTAGTACAAATTTAGATCATGAGAGAACTCTGTTTTTTTTTCACAATATGAAGGTTCGAACAAAGGTTCTAGATGATGGACATGCCACAATGATGTGTGCACAGTCTCTAATTAGAACGTATACGTACTTTCTAAGGTTGGCCACTATTTCACTGAATGGTTTCTCCCAAGTGTACATCTTGATGACCCTCATGGCAGAGATGATCTCGCTCATGGTCCTGATGCGGTCGTCTGTTTTCTGTGCTATCTGGCTCCTAGAAATAAAAACAGTCTTTGTGGGGAAATGTGCTAATGCTTGTGTATGTATTACCCCAAATATTAATACAGATAAGCATTTACACTGATATTATATATTTCCATGTTTGCATTTAACTACTGAGAGTTTATAGAATTTAAAGAAACAATTACAAGACTGTTTACCTGTATTTAGCAATGACTTTTCCAACGACACTTGACAGAGCCAGGTGGACCAACAGATAGCCCAACCCGGCCAGACAAGAAGGCCCCAAGTCTCTCCACAGGAGGATGGTCACAATCAGGATCTCTAATGGCCCAATCCACAAGTAGTGAAAGAACAGGAAGCCCTAAGCAACGGAAAATCGTACCAGTACGTGTAAAATTTACCTTCAAATTTAACTTTTGAATATCTACTAGTACTCCATGTCCAGACGTAAAGATTCCAATGCCTTTTTTTTCACTTAGACCTCCCTAGGCCTTCTAACGAAACATGTAAAAATTGTCTGTTTTTATCCGTATATAGGCATATGTAAGGAAAAAAAAGCTAGCTTTACATGTACTTTGTACCTGATCAAACCTTTTAACATCATTAGACATGAGGTTGACAATCTGTCCCGTGTTGCTCTTCCCTAAGGCAGCCTGGTTCAGCTTCAAAGTCTGTGTAGGGTACACATGGGGACCACAGATATTAATATTGATATTCAGACAAGTAACGTTGATAAAAAGTAGAATGTTTTCAGATATTACGCTCTAAGACATGCATTCACCTTTCTATAGATGAGCCCGCAACAGGCTACCCTCATCTTCCATCCAAGTGCCATCAGGGCAAACATATAAGGATGCTTGATCAAAGGAACGGCCAGCGCACAGACACTGATGACCAAGGCGTACAGGTAGGCTTGTGTTGTGGTCACGGTACTCTCGGGGGAGAAGTAGTCTATCAGCCAGCCGAGCACGATGGGCTGAGTTGCCGTTATTGCAACCTGGGGTAAAGTGGGAAGAAAACGATATCGATGTTTCAAAAGTCAAATGCATTACATGTATCTAGTATGGTGGGCACAAGGTAGGACCTTGAATCTAAAAGTCAGGGTTTGAATCATAACGGAGCCCAATGTTGTGCCATTGGAAAATGCACCTTATACGAATTATTCTACTTGACTGATGCGATAATTAGTACTACAATGGTTTGGGGATGTTAATGACAGAAAGAGAGGGATGGGCTCCGCTTTTCATTATTTCAGGCCCCATTCCACCGTAGGGGCCATGGAACCTTTTACGTCGGAATATATACGTTTTGGTTCACCCAATGCCAACCGAAATGCTGCAATAGATGGGTACCAAACATTGTTCTGTGGTGATCATATACTAGTATTAAAAGCGACTGAGTACCACTAGTATACTTACATCCAACAGGACACAAAGTCCAAATGTTAGATACTTGGCACCAAAGACCCTGAACAGGGCACGTCTCAGGCTGGGCGGCCGGTTGGGAGATTCTTTTTCCTTGTCCAGTTCCTTCTTCCATTCCCTGTGTTAAGTTTCGAACATAACGATAACGATAAACTGCATAACAAATTGATGAGGATGGGATAATTCTTTTATATCTAAAAGTGGATATTTCAATCTAAGAATTAAAGATGATTAACACGACATACCGTAGAACAACGAGATAATGTCATTGGGTTGGGTTAGACATATTTATTGTAATCATATTACAAAGTACCTTTGTAGGCATTCTGTTTGTATCTGTGAGCTGTCGTCATACAGGACATTGTACATGTCATCTTCCTGTAGTGTTCTCTTGTAGCCGGTCGTAAATAGAGGGTTCAGCCACCTGCATTGAGAAAGATACAAGGGCAAAAATATTGTCCCCCAAAGACTGACGTGGTTTAGGTGAAACAGTCGGTCGTCCCGCCAAATCAAGTTGGCAATACGTCAACATTAACGTCTGCACTGTACTGTTTATTTGAACTTTGCTTTACCTGCTGTTGTTACCCTTGGACCGGGGCTAGAGTTGGAGGTTAAAGTCCGATTGAGGCCAGACGGTACGCAAATACAATCATCGCTAAATAGAACGTCACGAATTCGGCTGAACAATAATGGTGTCAGGTCGATAAAGTCTTATTTCAGTGTGTTTTGATACGAACAAATGGACTCAACATTGTCCAAGTCTTTCCTCATAATAAATTTATGACAGTTATATAATTAAGAGTAATCAGTATATATCATGTTAACGACAAACAATACCCATTTTCAAATCTATAGACCGTCTTCCAAGACGATAAGAACTGGCCTAAAAATACTACATTGCACGCTCGATTTCTGTTTTTTAGTAAATGCTTACTCAATGCAGTGAGGATAACAACTATTACTGTAAATCAAAGATTAACAGAGATAATTTTGTGTATTTACTACGATTATGCACAGTGCTGAAAATTTGCTCACCAGAAGAAAATCTTGGAGACAAGACCAGCCGTTGCCAATGGGTTGGGTTTGGGCTTTCTGACCCTGTCGTCCATTCTTGATCGTTTAGAAGACACACTAAGGCAAAACTGTCATGCCACTATTTCAATTATGACAGTCATGACATAACCGTTTAGACTTGACTTAGGAAGTGTGTGTGGCACGTTGCTGCTAGGTTCTGGGAGCCCAAAGTCAACACTTCCGGAGTTGCGCTGTACCGAGTCACTGGCCGAAACCATTAGTAATATAGGAGCGTCAGGACGACTCTTGACGTATACGTCGCTCATTTTTTACCCTTTTTGCATCCTTGAATTTATCTTTTTAGTCAGGCGCATACCTCCTACCCTATGGTGACATGACACTGGTTGGAGACAGAGGTGAGTCACTAAGTGGTATAATGGCACGGTCCAAAAAGTGGTCGGTTATTCTAATACACCTCAATGACACCTCAACATGAATAGCTTTAAGCATTGTATTTCGAGACGTGTGTATTCACGTTGTATATCCATGCCGGTATCATTCAATACTTCGGCACATAAACGTTACACTGCATATGTGGTACTGCTAGCTAAAGGTTTGGAACTATCACATCGTTATTAAAAACGTATAATCCTATGACTTAAAAATGATTTTATTTAAAAAAATTTTTAGTGTCCTTTCATTTTGCCTTATGTAGGGATTCATATGCTCGTACGCAGTATGGATATTTAAGTAAAAAATTGAAAATTTAAATATATTCGATATGGACACATGTTTAAACTCTTACAAAATCAACACAATTGGCTGTCCACAATACGATTATTCATCTCTCATTGGTCTTCGATGTGCAAACGTATGGGAAAACACGTGTTGTAGGCCTAGGCTTGGTACCTTGTTCACTTGGGTTTCGGCATTGAAATAATGCGAGGCATTTATTCTTATTTGAAAAAAAAATCAATTGAAAATTAATAGTGCTAGTCTGTACCTCTTTTTTTAAGAAATTTCTTTCGTGGTTATGGGGCTTTAGAGAGTAGCTATCCGCTGCAAGGCTAATGTAGGCATTAAGGCTGCACGTTTTCAGAATAATGAACATGACTATGGTTATGTCCATGACTGTGATTTTCTTTAAGGTCACTAACTTTAAGTCTAAACTGCAAGCAATGCAACAAATCTTAAGAGCAGGATACGAGAAACACCTTATAACAAATGTCAATTCTAGTGAGATGCTACTTTAGCAGGGTCTAATGCACTCGAATAGAAGGACCACAGCGCTAAACACTGGTCAAAAACTCAACATTAGACATGTATCTAGCCTCTACAACGTCGTCTGTGCCGTGCTTCTCCATGTAACACTGCCTGGCTGCTTCTCTCAGCTCTGCTGCTAACATCTTCCCGGACTGGTCCACCATAGCTGAGAAAACACCATCTCTGTCCTGCAGCAGGGCATGAGCCTCTCCCATCTCCTGTACCCGACCCTCCTGTAGTACCTGTTACAGTAAAAACATCACATGTGAGACAGAGAAACCTCAGCCATTGCCAATTCTGACAGTGTTTTATGCAATATTATACACACTTCTTCTCAAACAGAAGAATTACTCACCATGATCCTATCCGAGTCGATGACAGTGTTGAGTCTGTGGGCTATTGTTAACACTGTGCAGTTCTTGAACTTCTCTCGAATGGTCTCCTGAATAAGCTGGTCCGTTCTGTGTTGGTAAGAAAGAGGTCAATGAGTGTACATTCCTTCCAATCACATGACAATATATAAAATCGAAACCTAGCAAACAATCAAAGAAGTGTCGACAGGCATGTTGTCATACCTCGGGTCTACATTTGCTGTTGCTTCATCGATGATGAGAATCCTGTTTTTCCTGAGCAGGGCCCTGGCTAGACAGACCAGCTGCCTCTGGCCCACACTGAAGTTGGTCCCAGATTCAGCCATCTCAGACTCAAGCTTTCCTTGCAAATCGTCCACTGCCTGTTTGAGCTGAACCTACATATATACAAAAATGACGCATACAAAACTAAATGTCTAAAATGGGCAGGAAGGGCAAACGTAAACAATATTCACCTTTTCATAATTTATCTTTCAAATGAGTATGAATAGAAGAACAATTTTGATGATGACCCTTTTTTCACTGTAAATTTAGTGTTTTTTCTCACCTCCTCTAAGGCACTCCAAAGCTGCAGGTCTGTAAAGTCGTTGAAGGGATCCAAGTTCCTTCTGAGGGAACCAGAAAACAGGACAGGGTCCTGGGGAATGACGGAGATTTTCTTCCTCAAGTCGTGGAGTCCGATCTTGGTGACATCCACCCCGTCAATCCTGACTGTTCCTTGTGGCTCCGCCATCCTGAACAACATCTGCATCAGGGAGCTCTTCCCCGCACCCGTCCGACCTACTATGCCAATCTGAAAGTCATTAAAAAGTAAGAAAGTTTTGATGACCAAAGGTTTTTTGCATTGTGTGTACCTGCATTATTACATGTACATGTATATGTACAAGGATGAATGTATTCTTTTAAAAGATCAAGCCTAAAATTGCATATTGATTGCTACATTGCAAGTAGTAGTTGAGGGCAAGATTTTAGAACATTTGAACTTTCTTGCTCGATACCTTTTCCTGTTTCCGAATCCTGAAACACAGGTTCTTGAGAATGTCAGGTCCATCTTCAAAATACGAGAAGGACGCAGCCTCCAACTCGATCCGCCCATGCTGAGGCCAGTCTCCGGGAGGTTTTGTACTGGTCTCAAGTGGAGCTTCAGGCTCCAGTTTAGTGTACGTAACCACTCTTTCTGCTGAAGTCATCTGGTAAATATGATCCAGAAAAACAAGATTGTGTCACATGTGAATATTTGACCAGGTCTCTTTGATCAGCCAAAAAACTTCTCATCCATTTCTGTTACTATAGTCATTTTAAACTAGCTTTTACATTGCAGTTGCATTGCAATAAGCACCCATGTATAGAACAGACGGCAGACAATCGTTTCCTACCAAATTCTCCACCTCTGCACTCTGACGAACAGCCCACTGAAAACGGCCTGTGAGCATGATGGCATACGTGACTGACAGGCCTACCAGACCGCCATCTAGACCTAAGAAGAAATCGTATATTTGACTTCTGTCAGAGCTTCGCATATGAAAATCAATGAGTCATTCTTGCTCCAAACACATTATGAAAGCTATAGACATTAAATGATATTTGAATAATGGACATCACATCCTATATATCCATGAATTTGTAGACTACATCTTGGGCACCAAAGACAATGATTCTCTTCTACGATCCAACTAAAAGCCTGTACATTGCGTCTAAAAGAATTGAGTATCTAACTCCTGATGAATGATATATGGTTTATGACTAAAAAAATATAAGTACAAACCTTCAGACGCAAGGACACTGCAGAAGGCCACAGCAGTGACAAACAACGCTGCCAAAAAGTCTAGTCTGACAGACAACCATCTGCTACAGGCAATGAACAGAAACCAGGCTTCGGAGTGCAGGTCTTGGTGAGAATCAAACTCCTGCTGGAAACTCTCCTGAGCACCGAAGGCTCGGATGGTCCACAGGCCTTGCAGGGTGGCGGACAGGTGGGAGAACACTGGACTTCGGGCTAGGAAGAAGAGGCAAGCATTTCGATTATTTTCACAGCTACTAATTGTTCTCACAATGACTTTGCAGCTTTAATGGTGTCACAAAACCTTCCCTTCGGTTAGCGCGTTCATGGGAGCAATGCATGGACCAAACAACTAAAGATATTAAATGTTTTCACATAAATCAAAACCCACTGGTTCCCTCCAGTCGTTTGATGTCCCTGGATGTGCTCAGGTAATACTTCCGGATGTAGATGAACAGGAACAACAGAGGTAAGGTCGGGATGAACACCCAGGGGTTGATGATGCCAGTCAGAATAATGAACGTGACTATTGATAAACTCATCTGAAAAAAGGTGAAATTTTGTCAAACTACTCCCAATGTTCTCCCATATCCGAGAAGTAAAGAACTGTGACTAAAGAATGACACAAAAGCTATATAGTTGAAGATCAATGATCATGACATATGAAACAAACCACAACGAAAGTAAAAGAATATGACCTGTGTAAAATCACAAAAAGTCCACGGCAACGTTTCATCCAGCATCCCTACGTCTTTGGAGAAGCGATTCAGGACTCGTCCTAGTAAAAAGAAAAAAATAACCTTTATGATATGTATGGTGAACTAGTTTTGTATTTGAAACAGAATAATATATAATGAAATATGCAACGTATTTTCTATCAACTCACCGACAGGATTTGTGTCGAAGAACCTGATTGGAACCCTGATGATTGCTTTGAACATGTCGTTATGGAGATTTTTGGAAGACTCTATTGCGAGGAAGAAAAGATGCAAAGTTCCGGCTAAGCCCAACACCAGGGTTCCTGCTGCCAAGGCGGTCAAAATGTAGACATAGAAGTGTGTATCTGGATGGGCCAGAGGGAAGACTGTGCTGCTGTTTGTTGGTATGTCTGTTGCATTTATCTTCCCAAGAACAGATAGACTAGACCCATTTGAGAATGCCGTGTTGCTGCCATCACTAGCCAAGATCCAGTTCTTTTTTGCAGAGTAGTGCTGCTCTTCCATTCTTGCCCTGTGGTATTGACAAAGAAAAATATCTCAAGACCCCAAGCCATTTTACCGAGTTTCAGGGAATATGTAATAAAGATCGGTCTTTCCCATCGTATCTGGATGGGAAATATATGAACATCTCCGTGGATAGATTTACGACATGCTTACCAATATGCTAGCCACCAGTCGGACATAATGTAGACCACATGGAAGGCAATGTTCATAACGATGGCGAACAGACATCCCAGGACACCCACACCGGCCTTGAAGTAGTCTCTGTACACATTCCACCCAACAGTTCCAGTCATCCGATCCTCTTCCACTAACAACGGGACAGTCACATCCTGAGAGAAAAGAAGCCTTGTCATTTTCATAGAAATAGTTCTTCATATAATATCTACTAGATATCTTCCTGGCAAATCATTACCCATGACCTGTACCGGTTGTTTCCGTTCATTGCTATTGGAAACCCCTAAAAGGTAGATTATCGTGCAATAATCCATACGAAACACATTTGTCATCCTTGCTTGCTTAATACATATCTTGACACACACCTCTTGGTCGTCTTCTAATCTTAAGGAATTGACACTGTTTGATGAGGCCTGAGAAAGACGTCCGGAAGGC